GCCTCCGCCGCTGCCTCCCACAGCAAATCGATGTCCACCGCAGAGTCCGCGTCGCTTCTTCCGCCATTCCACTCCGCCATTTCCGCATCTTCCGCCGCTTCTCCCGCTACCGCTCTGCCCTTTTATCCCCCCCTTTCCCCGCCTTTTCACGCGTCTCCTCCCCACCTCTTCCCGCCCCCTGCGCCTCGTCGCCGCCGTCGCATGCGGGGATCGCTATCGACATGGCGCGCTTCCACGACGAGGAGCGCGTTGCGTGAGCCTCGGCGTGATTAACGGCGTGACAATCGGCAAAAGAAGCGGCGTGAGCGTCGGCGTGAGATTGGCCGAGAGAAGCGGCCTCTACGGAAGCACGCGGAGCGTGTGGGGGACTGCTAAAGGAGGAAGCGGCGGCGGGTGCGCGGTCGGCGCGCAAGTCAGCGCTAGTACTATTGGCGGGATATAAAGATGGCGGAGCATAGGGGGAAGGCGAGGAGGCGTTTTTAGCCAATGAGGAGCACGTGGAGACGGTGGGTGACGTGGAAGACGCGGGCTGGTTAGCGCCGGCGGAGTTAGCGGAGGAGGCGGCGGGGAGGCGGAGGCGGCGGAGGAAGCGGAGGAAGCGACAGAGGAAGAGTCATCCAATGGGGCAACGGGGGTAGAGGAGCAGGCGGCGGAAGAGGCAGCGGCGGAAGAGGCAGCGGCGGAAGAGGAGGCGGCGCAGCAGGCGGCGGGGGCGCCGGACGAAGTGCCGGACGAGAAGGGCGGAGTTCGCAGCCATGGCGCCTTCTGGCCTCTCTTGCCGCGGCTGGCGCTTCCCTGGCGGAAAGAGAAACGCCAGCGAAATGGTTTTGTTTCAGAGCGGGCTGCGGGGAAAGGATTCGGAAGGCCTCGCAGCCTCGTGCGCCATATGCGCTCCGACGATGATGCCGCTGCGGGAGGCGGAGGGTGGTGGTTTGCGCAGTACGCGCCGGGGGAGGCAGGGGGAGCGGCGACTGCGGGGAAAACACGGGGAACGGCGGAGATGCCGCGGCGGAACGACGGCGGCGGGCGCGCTTCAAGCCCGCGGACGACAAGAACGTGGACGCCACGCATCGCACACGCTCCGCGGCGCGGGCTGTCTCGATGCACGCGACAGCGACCGCCTTCTGAAATCTCCCGCAGCCCTCCCGGATCGCCTTTTCGACCCTTCTGAAGCTCGCCCGCCCCCGCCTTTCCGAGACGCGCCATTCGTCTTCGATGTGAGTTCCCGCCGCCACGGAGCGTTCGAGGAAGTTCCCCTGCGTTGCTTCTAGGGTGCATTTATCAGTATCCCACGGCCATGTTAGTAAGGTGGCACTATATTTGAAAGTCAGTAAGGTTTTCTTTTCCACTCTGTCCAGTGAGGACTTCACGGGGATAGAGATTCCTCTGAGGTTCCCGCTTCCAAACCCTCCTGAGGCGCACAGTTTCGTAATCCCAGTGAACGCGTAATCACTCTTGGAGCCTGGCTTCGCCTAAGTACTGTAGTGCTCGAGTGACAATCAAATAGTTGCCGCGAACGGCAGTCGAATACAAAATGCCACTCGCAAGTGATGTACTCTAGTGAAGCAGCATTGCTGCCTAGCGTCAGAGTCACCTAGCCCGAAGGGGAGCTAGTCAGTCAGTCACGCGTTCTGGCTGGAGGGAGGTTAGGGCGTGGATACTAGGGTTGCGCAACTGGTTGAGGTGTTGGCGAAATTGTTTCCCGGAGACAAGTTTGCGACGAGACATCCAGTGCTTGCGAAGAGCATAACCAGACCAGATTGCGCAACTCAGTCGGGTTGCGCAAACCTAAGCTCCACAGCGGAAATGCGCGAGTGACGCTGCGCACGTTGGAACTTTTGTTCACACACCTTGTTTGGGAGCCCTCGCTCCATGCAGTGCATCAGTCAGACGAATGCACGAACGCCACGCAAGCGAGCCCCGTTGGACTGCTCCGCTTTGCATTCGCGCTCGCCCCCGCGATTCGAATGAACCTTCGCGAGTCGCGACAAACCAAAGAACAGCCAACTGCCGTTTCCGTGCAAGCAGTCAAGTTGCTGATTCGGCAAGGATTGCACCAAGGCTGATCAAGAGTTACTGTGGTGGACATCGTGCACATTTATGAGGTCATTGGCCTTGCTGCATCTTTCCACCAAACTGAAACGCCTCTTACCGAGTGGTGAATGCCCAGTGGAGACGTCACCAACCGATTCGGTGGTGGTGAGGATCAAATCACTCCACTCCAGACTTTGCCGTCAAGCCACTACCTTTTTTTCTGTTCCTGGTTGTTCATTTTCGGAATGCGGTTGCGGGGGCTCAGTTGCGAATGAGTTACTACGATAACCAGGAAATAAGTGGCAACCAGGAAACTGTGTACACGGCTTTTTCTATAATATTTGACAATCTCTGCACGCGGCTCAAGCCTGCAATCAGAAAATGGTAAACACGGGCAGACGGGACCTTGAAGAGGACAGCCCAGAGTAAACACTGACACGAGGTTACAGTACAAAGCATCGCTCATGCACGAGACAAGTTGCCCACGCGACGTCCCAGCTCTGAAACTCACAATTGTCAAAATTTGACTTGCACTGTTTATGGACAACTGTTTTGTTCTGGGCAGATTGCTTTCGTCAGGGGCTGGCAACTACGGTACTGTACACCACGTGACGACAGGCCAAGGCAAAGACAGACCGAACAGTACAGTACAACAAACATGCACGCGCTTTTGGAACATTTCCCTGCACCACCACGTGAACATGCACGAAGTACACATGAGGTCCTTTTCTAGCCCATTTTCTTCGAGCAGGTGCTCCAGAGTCGAACACATAACTTTCACGGGTGAATTGGGCCAATATAGGGTAGTCTGGTTACCTCGTTGGCATTTTCCCGTCTAGAGCGGGTGACCATTGTTGTTTGTTCTGCGTTTCTCGGGCAACAGTGTAAGGTTTGAGAACGTCCCGTCTGCACGTTTGGAGGCCTCCGCATCAGATGTGGTAAAGTTGCAAATCTTTGGGCCTGTGTCAATTGAGCAGTTTCCCGTGCGTTTGAACTAATGGACCTGTATAAAAACACGTGACATCTAATGAATGGGAAATTTACTGGACGTCAGGTGTACAGTCCGCTAATGGCGGCGCTGCATTCAGTCGAGGAGTATGGAAACCAGGCCTCTGGAAGTCAGGGTAATTACACTGCTTTGTCAAAGAAAACAGGGTAAAATTATGACCTAGCCCTGCTTTTGACGCATTCAGAATATCGATACCCGTTCATGGACATGTAAGGCAGAATTATCCCACGGCCAATTTCAGAGTACTGGATAGACCCGCCTGTAAAATCTAATGTAAACGTTCACGCCCCTAGTAAAAAATCATCCCCCTGTCATTGTCAGGAGTGGCTTATTCCGAGCTTGACGAAACTCTTGCCTGCAAAAACTGTCAAACTTCTTTGGGCTACCCAGCCTGGACGAGTTGCATCTCGGGCAAACTCGGAAACTGCAGGGTGACCCCTAGGATATCAAGAGGCCTGATGGAAACACAGCTGTTATAAAAAAGCCACTCAGGAAAACACTTCAGACCGCCTCACAACTCATGCTTGTGCCAACTAGTAGCCACGAGCATAATCTATGATACACACTAGCCCCTTAACACACACTTACTCGTCCTTCCGCGTGCAACATCCATCTTTTGGATGTCACTCATATCCAGCCACCTTCTGAAAAATAGCTCCTATGGGTGTGCTGTCACCACACCGCAAACTAAGCCATCTTTAACCTTGGTGCCTCCAAATTATTCAGGAGAGCTTTCCCGCTCCTACTTCTCTTCGACCTGAGAATTAAAAGCAAATGCCACCAATGTCAAAGGGGGCACACGCACACGAAGAGAATCACATGCTGAAACGGATGCAATAGCTGCAACACGGCAAAAGCAGATAAAAGGAGGACCTCTCTGCTTAACCCAGAGCATGCTTGTGCTTACAAGCCACAACTCCAGCACACGTGTCTTGAACCAGACGAATGAATGAAGCAAATGCAACAACAGCTCGTCTGACCTGCGGCGGGCCATGACCGGCTCCTTGGGCTCCAGCTTGCCCTCCAAAATCCCCACCAGCGATTACACTGCTTTACGTCACACGCCATTCCATCCAATAAACCATCAGAGAGCAAGCCCCCCAGCCTCACCTGCGGCAGGCTCATGAGCTCCATGACCGCCTCCTTGGGCTCCAACTTGCCCTCCAGGATCCGCGCAACAGCTGTCAGCACGGGCATCTGCACGCGGTACTTGCGGGCGAGCGCAATCACCGCGCCCGACGTGGCAACACCCTCCGCCACCTGGCTCATGGACGCCAGGATGTCCTCCAGCTTCTCCCCGGACCCCAGGCGCACACCCACGGTGCGGTTGCGGGACAGGCTCACAAAGCACGTGAGCATGATGTCACCCGTGCCGCTCAGTCCAGCCAAAGTGGTGGGCTTAGCACCCATCTGTGGTGTTGATATGGGGTAGGGGTAGGAGGAGAACGGGGGGGAGGGGGGGGGAGAGATTCAGGGGTAAAACACATGATTTGGGGAGGGGCAGGAAACAAGTGCACAGAAAGAGGGAGGGGCGCAAGGGTGAACGGAGGAGAGGCCCATGGGAATGCCTGCGCCACCTTCTGAGGCCCCACATTCTGCCAACCCAGGAGAGCTTTCAGATCGCACCCCCGCCACCTGGCTCACGGACGCCAGGGTGTCCTCGCACCTCTTGCCTTCTCACCCCTCTCACCCCTCTCACCCCTCTCACCCCTCTCACCCCTCTCACCCTCTCACCCCTCTCACCCCTCTCACCCCCTCACCCCTCTCACCCCTCTCACCCCTCTCACCCTCTCACCCCTCTCACCCCTCTCACCCCTCTCACCCCTCTCACCCCTCTCACCCCTCTCACCCCTCTCACCCCTCTCACCCTTCTCACCCAGCCACCGAACCTCGGAGTTGTTTGTTGCCCAGCTGCATGCCCTCCACGATTCCTGCTATCCTCCTGTTGTCATTTCTTTGACATGCCCAGCAGCACAGGTTTTCGACCCCACTCCTCTCACCTTCTCAGCCAGCCACCGAATCTCAGAGCACCCTGCGCCACCAGTGCAGCTGTATGCCCTCCGCTAAACCCAAAAACCCTGTTAGCTGTTACTCTCGCTACTCTCAGCTGCTGTTCCCGCTGCTACCTACCAACCCTTAACGTGCCTGGCATGTGCACCGCCACTTCTCTCACCTTCTCTGTGAGCCACCGAATCTCAGAGCACCCCTGGGCGACCAGCGCAGCCATGCAGTTGTTGCCCAGCTGCATGCCCTCCACCATCCCCGCTGCTATCGCCAGCACGTTCTTCAGCGCCCCCGCCATCTCCACCCCGACCACATCACTGGGAGGGGAGGAGTCAGGGATAGGAGAATAACGGGTGGAATAAAATTAGGTAAAGTCGACCTTGAGATGTATTCCGCAGCTGCATGCCTTCAGTGTCCCCGCTGCTGTCGCCAGCACGTTCTTCAGCGCCCCCGCCATCTCCACTCCCACCACATCCGTGCGCTTTTCAGTCGACTCAAAAGCATCTCCACCCCCACCACATCAGTGCGGCGGATGGGGAAGGGGAAGGGGATGGGCTGGATCTTGAGGCGAAGTGAACTCAGAGAGGACCCCCCAACAGCATGCATGCCCCTCCACTATCCCCACTGCTATCGCCAGCACGCCTTCAGTGCTCCCGCCATTTCCACTCCCTCAACGTTGCTATATGACGAGAGGTCGGATCGGAGGATCATGTGGATGGATGTGTGTACGACCGACAGAATATGCACACGTACGCGCAACTGTTGGCGCGCGTATGTGTATGATCAACCAGCCGAAATGAACACATGCCCACATAAGAAACATGAATGTTTATGCACACATACACCCTTGATAAAGCAGCTGCGCTTGGACACGCGCACGAGCGTGGAGGTGTTAGTGTGTAAGTAGTTTAGTTCTGAGGCATCTCGAAACGTACGTGGAGGTGTTGACTCGCAGGGTTTTCGACGCCAGTAGGTGTTGCGCCCTCTTGGCCAGCGCGAGGTCCTTGCTGGCCGCGACCAGGGCTGAAGGGAAGACGAAAAAGAGAGGGAAGAGAGAGAGAGAGAGAAAAGGGGGAGGGGTCTGTGTTAAACACACTGGCAGCAGCTGCTGTGCCCTCTTGGCCAGTGCAAGGCCCCTGCTGGCAGCCACCAGGGCTGAAGAGAAGAGAGAGAAGGGAGAGAGGGGAGAGCGAGGGGTGGGGATGGATACGAGCCAAGGAGTGGGAAGCACTTCCCGGCAAACTCGCCAGCTGCTGCAGTGCCTTCTTTGCCAGGGGTAGGTCTTTACCACATAAAGAGGTCCAATCACCTTGAGCCTTCAGGTGCCTCAGCGCTCACCAGTAGGCGTCTTCCAGCTCCAGGCCCTTGCTCACTGAATGAATGACTGATGGATTCTCAGCACTCACCTGTGGGCAGCTCTCGAATAATCTCCACAGCGAACGTAGGCCCCGAGAGGATGACCACGGGCTGGCGCGGGTTGCCGAGCCCACGGGGAATGACCTGCGTCGTCATCTCCATGGTGCCCAGCTCCAGGCCCTTGCTCACTGACTGTCAGACTGCCTGATGACTGACTGCCTAATGACTGACTGGCTAGCTGACTCTGGGCACTCACCAGTGGGCAGCTCGCGGATGATCTCCACAGCGAATGTGGGTCCTGAGAGGATCACGACGGGCTGGCGCGGGTTGCCGAGCCCGCGGGGAATGACCTGCGTCATCATCTCCATGGTGCCCAGCTCCAGGCCCTTGCTCACGCACAGGATGGGCAGCGTGGGCGGCACGTACGCCGCTATGGACTTGAGGAAGGCAGCGCTCGGCTGGATGTAAAAACAGGAGGGGAGGAATGAGGGAGAGGAGAGGGAAAGGGAGAGTGAGTCGACACTTGCTTAGGGTGCGTTGCTCACGCACAGCATGGGCAGCGTGGGCGGCACGTACGCTGCTACGGACTTGAGGAAGGCGGCGCTCGGCTGCAGGGGGGAAGCAGGAGGAGGGGAGGAACCAAGGAAAGGAGGGGGGACTGTGAGATGACTCCTGTTTAAAGGTGCGTTGCTCACGCACAGCATGGGCAGCGTGGGCTGCACGTACGCCGCTATGGAGTTCAGGAAGGCGGCGCTCGGCTGCAGAGAGAGAGGAAGGAAAGGGAAAGGGAAAGGGTGGGGGATTGTGAGTCGACACATGTTTAAGGCGCATTGCTCACGCACGGGATGGGCAGCGTGGGCGGCACGCGCGCTGCTATGGACGGAAGAAAGGCGGTTCTTGGGTGCAGGAAGGGAGTTAAAACAAAGGAGAACGAGGGAGGGAGAAGGTGGGGGGGGGGGGGGGATTCTTGCGAGCTGACTCGAGAGTCATCTGCTGGGTTTTCAGCTCAAATGGCGTGAATAGCGTGCTCCCCCCGCACTGCGCGCCTAGCATGTAACTTCAGCCCTCTTAACCCCCCCCTTCCCCCCCCTCTTGCCCCCCTCCCTTCTTACCTGCACGGGGATGGCGTGGATGGCGTACTGCGCGCCAGTGATGGCCTCCTTGGGGTCCGTGGTGGCGCGCACGTTGTCGGGCAGAATGATGCCCGGATGGCACGCACTGGGGGGGGTGGGGAGGGGAGGGTTGGGGGGAAGGGCGGGAGAAAGTGAGCGATGAACGGACAGATGGATGGCGGGAGAAAGTGAGCGATGGACGGACAGATGGATGGCGGGAGAAAGTGAGGGATGGACGGACAGATGGATGGCGGGAGGAAGTGAGGGATGGACGGACAGATGGATGGCGGCCCGCCTGATTTTGAGTCGCCTCAACACGTGGCAGTTCCAGCACGGATTGATTCGGAGATGAGAATCGGCGAAGCAGGCGGCGCCAAGCAGGAAACAAGCAAGCGTCAGCCAGTGGGGTGTAGCAGGCAGGCATCGTGTAGGTCGTAACCAGAGGGCGGAGAACACGCGGCCGGTGAGACAACTCTGACAAGTACCGGGTGAACCTTGACATTGCCGCGAATGACGCGGACTTGTTCAGCGGGTGTTGGTTGAGGAAGCCGATCCGACGATAAACAAGGGTCGGCCAGTGCGGTGCAGCAGGCACTGTGCAGGCCGGCCGTACCTGTGCATGCGCCTGAAGACGGAGATCGCGCGGACGGTGAGACGGACTTGTTGCGCGGGTATTCGGTGAGGAGACCGCAGAATGCCTCTCGGGATGCGCGAGAAGTCACACATGGCGTACCTGTCTGTCTGTCGGGTATTTTGTCCTTGGGGGGGTGCGAGTGGCGTACCTGTTACAGTGCAGCTCGTTAATGTTCTTGCAGTCCTCCTCGAAGCGGTGCAGAATCACCACGTCCAGATCCGCGTTGTTGCGCGCCAGCATGTGGGCCAGAGCCGTGCCGAACGCCCCGCCGCCGAAGATAACGACCTGGCGAAGACGAGGACAGTGGACACGCCCAAAGAAGACACGCACGGTGAAAACGCGGCCGGAAAATACGCGATCAGTGAAACGCGACCGGTAAATACGCGACCACTGAAACGCGACCGGTAAATACGCGATCAGTGAAAACGCGAAGGACGGAAACGAGGAGGAACCGAAAAAACCGAGGCGGAAGGAAGCAGCGAGAAAGTAGGGGGGGTGAGAGATCACGACATGAGCGTGAACTCTGGATAGAGTTACTTCTCGTGAACAAGGCATTGCTCTGCGCTGTCAGCGCTGCAAGTCAGTTTGAAAGAGTTACTTTCCGTGGTTCACGTTCACGTACACGATGTTTTAGTTTTCTCACTAGACACACAGCTGACGTGGCACTGTCAGGTGCAGCATGCTGACGTGGCATTGTCAGGTGGAGTATGCATTCTACACCTTAGCCAGTGATTTAAGTTGTCAGAGTTTCACCCTGTTCCTTTCCGAGGCATTTCACACTATTAGACATCCCAGGGTTTGACACACTCACACTTTCCACGGTATCCCAGGGTTTTACACTTTCCACGGTATCCCAGGGTTTGACACTTTCCACGGTATCCCAGGGTTTGACACTTTCCACGGTATCCCAGGGTTTTACACTTTCATACTTAGGCCGTCTTCTCCGAAGGAAGTTTCACACGTTGGACTTGGCTGCCATTGTATCAGTTACGTTACAGGGCGACTCTCACCCAAGTGTGCCCGGTTTCCTTCACCGCCATAACTTCTTCCACTGGATAAGCGCCGCCCACGCGTTCGTTCTTCACGTCGTTTTTCCCCGCCTCGTTCTTCACCTCGCCAACGGAATGCTCGCGTGCCGTTTCCTGGTAACCCCGGGCTTCCGAATCCACGCGAGGTACTCTCTCTCACATAATGCCATTTCAAGATGTACTCTCTCTCACCTTAGTCGTGCTCGGTTTCCTTCACGCGCCAGAACTTCCGTAGGTGTTTTTTTAGTCGACTGTCTCACCTTAGTCGTCTCCTCCGGCGCGTGGTCGGTTTCCTTCACCCGCCAGAACTTCCGTAGGTGATTTTTGAGTCGACTAAAAAATCACCCTCTCACCTTAGTCGTCTCCTCCGGCGCGTGTTCGGTTTCCTTCACGCGCCAGAACTTCCCCCACCGCATGAGCGCCTCCCACGCGAAGTTCACGTCGTTGCGCTCCGCCTCGTTCATAAGCGCGCCGACCGAGATATTCGCCGACGCCTTCTCCTTGTCCTCCGCGATCGACGCCGACCCCGGCCCCTTCGTCGCGCCAGCGCTCACCGGGTGAGGCACCCGATGCTGAGACGAGGCGGAGAAAGACGAGGAGGAGGAGGAGGAAGTAGAGGGGGAGGAGGAGCCATGCTGCTCATCATGCTTGTGGTCTCGCGTGCCTGCCGGTCCATGGTGACCAGAGCTTGCGCTGGCACTGACGGGACCGGCTTTCCTGCTCGACCGGCTTTTGCTGATTGGAGACGCATTCAGGCGATAAGATTCTGAATGGAGTTCGCTGGATGAGCTTGAAAGTAGTTGCAAGCTGCACTTCGGGAAGGAGGTCGCTGGACTTGAGATGGTGACACGGGATTGCCGATGCAACGCTGCTGGTAACGCATTTGCAGAAAGTACCACAGCTGCACGTGCTGCTCCAGTCTCCATCTTGAGAGTAGATGGACAATGCAAGGAATTCGACGTTAAGGGAGATCCTGAGAGTTTCAGGAACAAGACCTGGAATTGTGGGTGAATGGCCGACCCAAAGTTGACAATGGCCTGTCTCGAGAGTCACGTGTACCGTCGCGTGGATTGAGAACTACTTGCTTCTGCGAGCAGATCCTTGATTTTGACGAGCAGCTGCACTGGCCTACTGAATCTGCGTGACTTTCAGTTGGTGTCTGGGAATTGGTGTTCTGTTTCAGTGTCTACAAGAACAATAATAACTTGGCTGACCAGCAGTCATTCAGTAGTGAAGTGATTTCAGCAGCAGTCATTCAGTAGCTACAGGGTGATCCACCCGAATTCACTGACTGATCCATTCAGCTTGTAATCCCGTCCTCCTAGTGGCTGGTTCAGATCTGCGGCGTTCCCAAAGGCTCTCTGACTGCTGGTGGGTCTTCTGGATTGATGTTTCGCGGCTTGCAATGCGAAACTCCAAACGAGGGTCGTCGAATGGATTCGCGAGCTTTTGATTGGTGATGAGGAGTTTCGCGAGGGCTTGCGATAGAACTAGCTGATAGTTGCCGCCTAGCTGTCAACATGTTGCGTCCAATTACAGGCTCGAAGACGCCAGGTCAGATCGGATCGAGGCGCAAAAAGGGCTAAGTCAATAAGGTCTGGACACCTGTAATTGCGATTGGTCTGATGGATCCGCTCTCCCGGGCGCTGCGGGGAGGGAAAGGTGCCGAGTTCACGGCGAAGCAAGCAATCCCATTCGCGGAGCGTGCGAAGTTTCACGCGCTGGATAGCCAACCACGTGTGTACCTACGTGGCTCCAGTTAGTCAAAGGACGTCCTCTCACAATTTACGCGAAACGTCCGGAGAGGTTACTCTGGCACGTGAAACGGCCAGCCTTGCGAAACTGCCGAACAGCAGTGCGAAGCCACTCGTGCGCAACGCGTTCATTACACCCCCGTTGAAGACCAACAAACTCCGATTGAAAATATATGTAGCATACGTTGGGTGTTTCGAACGTGTTCAGTGGAAATTTTAATCAAACCAATAGCGAGTACAATTGCAGCCGCTAATTAGCGGCACCTGTCGAAGAACCCACAAATTGTGCCACGTGGTAAACATGTGCATACCCAGACAGGGTCACTCTCCCTTCAGACCGTAGGAATCCCATGCAACATTAAATTATCGAGCCGCATTTCCCAGCCCCGTAAGCGCAGAACAGATTCTCCCGCCGCCCAGTATGGCGCGACGCGGGAGCTCAGACCCGCATAGTTCCTCCAAATACGTTTCTTCTCAGAAGACGTGTTCCGTTTCTTCAGCCTCCGATCGGTTCAGAAGCTTTCTGCAAGCGTATCCCGAATTTCCGATTCACTACGTTCAGGTGTTTTCTACGACGCAGCGTAGCACGCAGCGTTACTCGCAGCGGATCCGACTCTCCTGTGGACCTAATTCCGATGGCGTCCCAGCAGCAGCAGCGATTCCAAGTGAAGGTCTCTGGCCAGGTAACAATCTTTTGACAACCCCGCTTTTTATGACCTTTCCCCGTCTTTCCTCCCTCTCTTCCATTCCTCACGAAAGCCGACTATATAAGCTGTGACAGCCCCTGTTATTCTCTCGTTCCAGCCTCTCTTTCTTGCCTTAAGGGCGAGTCTCAAAGGCCAGGAACCGAAGATGATGGCATCAAGAACGATGCATCCAACTTGTGGAGTATCTACTCAGAATTCCGCTCCTCTCCTCTCGTTTTGGCCCCTCTCGCCTGCTTGCTTGCAGGGCGAGGGTCAGGGCGAGGAATCGAAGATGGTGGCATCAGGAACCATCGAACCTGAGTCCACGGGGATGCCTTCGGGTCAACCTGGTCAGTCGTACGGTCAACCTGGTCAGTCGTACGATCAACCTGGTCAGCAGTACGGTCAACCCGGTCAGCAGTACGGTCAATACGGTCAGCCCAGTCAGCCGTACGGGCAGCAGCAGTACGCGCAGCAGTACCCTCAGCCGTTCAGTCAACCATACGCTCAGCCGTATCAGGCGTACAGCAAGGAAGAAGAGCCCCTCGGTACTGGTGGAGTTACACGTGCGCACGGAACCACACATGTAACGCCACATGAAACGGCAGCAGGCGGAGGACTGGCCAGGGGAGTTGGAGTGACGCCGCATGAAACGTCGTCAACCATAAGGTGTGTTGCTAATAGGCCGGTGCCCCCTTGGTGGGTTCATCTGTGGCAAGCTGTGCGTGCTACACCTTTCTCAATCATCGCTCTTGCAACACCTGTTCCAATGATTGGTCCCAGATTCTGCTGTTTGCTCTTCTCTGCTGCTCCCTCTCCCCTCACACCGTGCCTCTGGGGATATCTCCAGGGGAGTGCAGGAGTTGAGCTGCATGGGCCGTATTGTCCCTGAGACGCAAGAACCCATAACCCATTTGCCCTCGTGTCTGCTGCTCCTTCCCTCCTCCCCAACCGTTCACAGCGCCACTGGGATGCCTGAGGACGCGTCTCGCACGCATGGGCGGGAGAGGAGTCCGAAGATGGAGAGGCATGGGCGTGGAATGGGGGGGGGTGGTATGGAGGGGCGTGGAATGGGGGTAGGACATGGGGACGTTGGCAGGGACCGTGGAATGGAGGGGCGTGGGATCCGGGACATTGGGAGGGAGGAGCAGGGGATAGGTGGAATTGGGATGGGCAGAACCATGGGGGTAGGGCCGTATGAGCACGGGAGGGAGAGGGCGAGGGAGGTGGCAGAGGAGGGAGAGGGGGTGCTTAAGGGGGGATATGGACAGGTGAAGGTTGGGGCGGGAAAGGGAGTGGAAGGGGCTGAACGGTTGGTGACTAAAACGGGGGAGCAGGGGGTGAGGATGGGCGAAGGGGTGATTGAAACGGGGGGGAGTATGGCGAAGATGGGTCTGAGTGCTGCGGAGCGTGGTGCAGAGACAGGTGTGGGTGTGGCGAAGGGGGTTGCGGGTACAGGGTTTAGGGTTGCTGAGAGCGCGTTTGAGACTGGGAAGGGCTTAGGGGAAAAGGCGCTGGAAACGGGCAAGGAAATGGGTGGGAAAGTGGCGGAGACTGCTGGTAGGTGGGTGCCTGGAGTGCCGTTTGGTGAGCAGGGGGAAACGAGGTCAGGGGAGGCGTATGAGAGGGGGATAGAGGCTGTGAGGAGTGTGGGGGAGAGGGTGGAGGGGGGGTGAGGGGGGTGGTTGCGAGTGGGGTTAGGTCTGCTGAGTCTGCTGGCAGGTGGGTGATGGGGGTGGGAAGGCCAGGCGTGAGTGAAACGGGGGGTGGTGTGACTGAAGAGGGAGGGGGTGAGAGTGGGGGGAGAGGAGAGATGAGTGCAGGGAGGGGTGGTGTGGGTGGATGGAGTAGCACTGGGAGGGAGGGGCAGGAGGAGGGGGCGTACGAGAGGGGCAAAGAGGCACTGAAGGGAGGACTGGGGGCGGTGGAGGGGCAGGTGAAGGGATTGGCCGGTATGGGCTCTGGTGGGAGTGTTGGTGTGACTAGTGGTGGTGGGTGGGAGGGGCAGGTGAGAGAGGCGAGCAGGCAGAGCGTGAAATGAGGGCGAAGGAACAGGAGATGCGAGAAGCCGGGCGACCGGAAATGGTGGCGACGACAGGAAAGGACACCCTACCAGAAAAGGCATACGAAGCAGCACAGGAGGGGGCGGAAATCCCCAGGCAGCTGGCGGGGGAGATAACCGGGCGAGCGGGACAGATGGCCGGGCGAGCAGGGGAGGTAACCGGCCAGGTAGCTGGTCGTGCCCCAGAGAAAGGCAAGGAGCTGGGTGAGAAGGCGTTGGAAGTGGTGCAGGAGGCTGGGCAAGTGGCGACTAAGCAGGCCAGGGAAGTGGGGGTGGTGGCGAGTGAGGTGATCCGCCAGGCGTACCGCAAGTGGATGGGCGCAGTGGAGGAGGGGGAGGAGGAGGAGGAGGAGGAGGAGGAGGGAGAGGGGAGGGAGGGAGGTGTGGGAGAGAAGGGGAGGGAGATGGTGGAGAGGCTTGGGAGTGGTGGGCAGCGAGTGGTGGAGGGAGTGGGTGGAGGCGGGAGGGGGACAGCGGAGGGAGAAGGGGTTTTAACGACCAGGGAGGGAGTGACAGGCACGCTGGAGCAAGGGTAAGAGCAGGTTTGGTGAGGGCGTGAGCGAGTATAAATCTCTGGTTAAATCACAGTAAGCTTCCTGGGTACCTTGGTTGATAAAACGTGTATCTCTGGTGTATAAACGGAGTGAAGTCAACTGGTTGGTACTCAACTCACCACTTCCAACTCCGCTTTCCTTCCTTCCTTCCAGCTACCGATGCTTGAGGCGCCTCAGAAATCGTCTAAAAAATGAGGCGCCTTAAAAATCGTCTCAAAAATGAGGCGCCTCAAAAATCGTCTAAAAAATGAGGCCCTCAAAAATCATCCAACTCCGCTGTCCTTCCTTCCAGGTACCGCCAAGCAAGGGCTCTGGCCCAAGTAGGCCTGCAGTTAGGGCAGTAGCTGGTTGGGGGAGTGGTGGAACAAGCCAAGCACCTTGTCGCTTCTGGTAAAACAGCCCCCCTTTCCCGTTGTTCCTCACCCTCAGGTACCGCCAAGCAAGAAACCTGGCCCAAGCGGGCCTGCAGTCCGGGCAGCAGCTGGCCGGTGGGGGGGTAGAGCGAGCCAAACACCTCGTTGCTCCCATTGTCCCCAGTGCTGCGGCTGGCGCTCCCACGACTGGAGTGGGGGGCGGGGTGGGTGGTGAGGGTGGTGTGATGGAGCGAGCCAAACACCTCGTTGCCCCTATCATCCCGGGTGGTGCTGGGGTTTCCACTGCTGGAGTTGGGCCGGGGAGTGAGCAGGGCGCAGAGACCTCTGCATACAAAGCAGGGAAGGAACGTGTAAAGAGCGCTTTAGAGGGGATTGCAGGGGGGACTGGTGGTGGTGGTGTGGGAAGTGGGCATGAGACACGTGTGCCGGGGCTGGATGAAACTGGAGTTGAAACGCGTACAGCTGGTGCTGGGACAATCCCTGGAGCAGGGCTTGTGACAGGCGTTGCTGACGTGGCAAGGAGGGCTGTGGGGACCACAGCAGAGACGGCCAAGGGGATTGCAGGAACGACTGCTGACACTGCAAGCAGGGCGATGGGGGCTACAGCTGCTACAGCAAGCAGGGCGATGGGGGCTACAGCTGCTACAGCAAGCAGGGCGATGGGGGCTACAGCTGATACAGCAAGCAGGGCGGTGGGCACTACAGCTGAAACTGCCCGTGGTGTGGCTGGGAGAGTGGTGGGGATGGGTGAGGAGGTGGCTGGGAGGGGGTATGGAGCGGTGGAGGGGACAGTGGGGGGGGTGGTTGAGGGGGTCAAGCGGATGACTGGGCTGGGGGGAAAGGGGGAAGGAGCGGAGGGAGTGAGCGGAGGGGAGGGGGTTGTGGGTATGGGAGAGGGTGGGAGGGGGAGGGAGGGGGTTGTGGGTGCAGTGAAGGGGGTTGGGGAGCAGATGAAACACCTGGTGGTGGGAGGGGAGGGTGAAAGGATGGAGCATGAGAGGGAGGAGGAGAGCGCGAGGGAGAGGGGCAGGAGGCAGGCGTATGAGACCCTCCACGGGGCGGAGGAGTGGGTGGAGGGGACTGTCAGCCGCGTGGCGGGGGTGCTCACGGGGGGACTGCTGGGGGGAAAGGGGCACAGGGAGAAGATCTATGGGGAGAGGGTGGGGGTTGAGGGGATGAGTGGGGGGAAAGGTTTTGAGGCAACGGGTCCTAAGCTGCAGGGGTTGGTGCAGGGGGGAGGCATGGGGGGGGGCATGGGGGGAGAGGAAAGCGGAACAACTGGGGAAGCTGTGAGTGGAGGGCAGGAAGTTTCTGGGAATACAGCGGAGTCTGGCAAGGGAATACTGGGTAGTGCCATGGGGGCGGTGCAGAGTGTTGTGGGCGGTACTGCTGACGTGGCAAAGCACGCTGCTGAGTCAGCACTAGGGGCCACACGGGCAGTGGGGGGAACGGTGGTTGGAGCGGGGGAAAGTGTGCTGGGCGAGGGGCAGAGGGGGGTGTGGGAGGGAATGGAAGCGGTGGGGAGGGGTGTGGAGTATGGAAGGGAGAGCATTGAGAGGGGGTATGAGGGGACGAAGCAGGGCGTGCAGGCAGGGTATGAGGGAGCAACGGGAGGAGTGACAGGGTTAGTGGAACGGGCCAAACACCTGGTGGGGCTGGGAGGGGAGCACGGTAAGGGAGAAGGTAAGGGCATGGTTGAGGGTGTGAGGGAGGGTATGGGTGAGAGGGTGGGTGGGAGGATGGTGGAAGCAGGGGGTGGAGGGAAGGTGGTTGGAGGATTGGTTGAGGGAGGGGAGGGCGAGAGGATGGGGATGGGAGGTATGGGAGGGGAGAGGGAGGAAGAGAGTTCGCGGGAAAGGGGCAGGCAGACTGTGCTGTCGGTGCTGGAAGGAGCAGAGGAAACTGCGAAGGGTGTTGTGAGCACGGTCACAGGAGGGTTCATTGGCGGGGGAGGGAGCAAGCACACCTTTGCTACCAGCGGTGCTACTGGTGGTGCTAGGGGCGTTGGCGTTGCTGGCAGTGGTGCTGGTGGGGTGGTAAGACAGCAGGCAGTGGCAGGGATGGCAGGAGAAGGAGAGGTGGCTACAGTGGGAGGGGGGAAGCAGACAGTGGCTGCAACAGGGGGGGGAGAGGAGTCTGCAGCAGTAGCAGCAGGGCCAGGGGGGAAGGTGGCAGCAGTGGGGGGAGCAGGTGCAGTGAGGGGAGCAGTGGAGGAGGCAGCTCGCCCGGAGATGGAGTCAGACGCGTGAGGTGATGAACTGTGAGGGGTTTGTGAACTATGGTGGGTAGGGAAGGGTAGAACGCATGGTCGAGAGGGGATACGACGCTGGCATATGATTCTTGTGTTATGTGGACTGTATGACCTGCTCCCCGTGTCCTCCCCTGTTTGTCGACCCTGCAGAATTGACCTGGTCAGTGCCGGTTGTCGTGGATTTGCTTGAGAGCCGACTGTGACATGCTAGTGGTTGGCTTTGTGATGCTCAGGCATGTGTGGTGGATGTGTTTCCTTGCCATGCTCTCTTGGAAGGACAAGGAGATGATGCTGTATATAGCCTATCTTGAATGGATTTTGTTTTTGGTGCTACGCACATATTGGTTTTACACATCCTAAAGGTCGTGAAAGAAAAATGATTATTGAATAAAACTGATTTAGCAAAATATGATGCTGGATCATGTCAAACATATTTCTGCATGTTTAGTAGACTACTTAGGGTCTTGCCATAGAGAGTACAACCCACTAGCTATATACCACTGTATCCTCTCATTCTAGTCATCGTTCTAACTCTGAGATCATATCATGGGTAGGTTAGGTCCCACCCCTCCACCCGCGCTTCCGCCGTAGGTTCTAGCGTTCCTCGTCGCCTAGCTCCTAGCCGCTCCACGGGCCCCGACGCCCCGTTGCCCTGCTGGCGCACACGGCCCCGTTCCCTAGCGCCTAGCCGCCCGTGGCCCCGCGGCCCCGTCACCTAGCGCCTAGCCCCCGCGGCCCCGCTCCCCTAGCTCCTAGCAGCCGCGGCCCCGTCGCCTCGCGCCTAGCCGCCCGCGGCCCCGTTGCCCCGCCCCGCTGGACCCGTGGCCCCGTCGCCTAGCACCCAGCCGCCCCCCGGCCTAGCCGCCCCGTGGCCCTGTAGCCCAGCCGCCTCGCGGCCTCGTCGTCCAGCCGCCCCGCGGCCCCGTCGTCCCAGCTGCCCCGCGACCCAGTCGCCCAGCCGCGCCCCGCGGCCCCGTCGTCCCAGCTGCCTCGCGGCCCCGTCGCCCAGCCGCCACGCGACCCGTCGCCCCTCCGCGCCGTGGCCCCGTCGCCCAGCCGCCCCGCGACCCTACTGCTCAGCCGATCCGGGCCTTGTCGCCTTGCTGCTCCGCGGCCTCGTCGCCCAGCCGTCCCGTAGCCCCGTCGCCCAGCTGCCCCGCGGCCCCGTCTCCCAACTGCTCAGCCGCCGTAATTCCCGGTCCCCGCCCGCTTCACCTGCCCTCTCTACCGTCGTGCACCGCGCCCCACCGTGCCGCACCGCCGAGCACCGCACTGCACCGCATTGCACCGCACTGCACCGCGCCCTACTGCACTTCACTGCGACCCACCTCACTGCACCGCACTGCATCGCGCCCCACTGCACTCTACCGTACAGGACTCCTTCCCACCGTTCCTCGTCACTCTGTCGCCGTCTGCTCGCGGTTGCAACATCCCTCATGGCGGACTCCGTGCTGCGCTTTGACGCGGAGGGTCAGCCGATTGAGTTCGACTCCTGGCTCGTCGATCTCCGCCGTCACCTCACTGGTCAGCGGCAGGACGGCCACTCCCTAGCCGTCCACATTGACGGTACGCTCTCCTACCCTAACCCCCCTGTTGCTCTCCCCGCTAACCCCACGACTGCTGACCGTGAGTCCGCCGCCGCTGCTGCCCTTGCCCGTGCTGTCTGGCTATCGCGTGACGCTGTCGCTCAGCTCGCGATTAGCCATGCCCTCCCACTGTCTGAGCGCCCCCGCTTTAAGTCGGTCAGGATTGCGCAGGAGTTCCTAGAGGCTGTTGTCGAGCGTTTTTCCACCCCGTCCTCTGCCTCTGCCGGCCGCCTGATCCTTCCCATGCTCTTCTCTGATCTCGCATCTTTCCCCACTGTCGCTGACCTGGCCATGCACCTGCGCACGCTCGACGCTAGCTGGCGCGCTGCCTGCACTGAGGCCCAGCTTCGTGTGTTCCAACCCCCTATCTGCTCTACCCTTTACCTGCTTGCCACCTGCCTGACCGACCGCCTTGCCACTTCCCGCGACCACTTTCTTAGTCTGCACCCTGCTGACCTCACCCTCTCCGACTTTGTCACACCCTGTGTGCCATAGAGACCCGTCAGCGCTCTATCGCCCAGTCTAGCGGTTCTGCGCCGGTCCCTATCTTTCACGGCTGTGCTCCCGCCTAGTGCACTTACTCTGACGGTTCTGCAGCTGTAGCTGAGAAAGCCCCTGCTGCTGAGACCGCTGCTGCGGTGGCAGCAGCGCAGTCCCGTTATGATAAGGCTCGCCGCCCCAAGGCTGGGCGCGGCGGGGGTGGAGGTGGTGTTGGAGGCAGTTCGTCCGCTGGCGGTAGTACAGACGAGGGGACTGGGGCTGGTGCCTCGGAGCAGCAGCCCCAACGGGAGCAGCAGCAGGCGCCTCAGCGTGGGCAGCAGCAGCCGCAGTAGCAGTAGTTGCAGCAGAGGGTCGGCCGCCTCCCGGCAAGGTGGCCTGGCGCTGGTGGTGGTGGTCGCGGTGGTCGTGCGCGTGGTTCAGCGTCGGGTGGTAGTGCGAGTGATGGGCGCTGCAAGTACCAGCTCCTGACCGGTCCTCGCCGCGACCTCGTGTGCGGTAAGACCGGTCATACCCCCACTCGCTATTTCAATCGCCTAGACGACCTGTTTCGTCTCCACTTCGGCCCCGCGCCGGACCTCCCCGACTGGCACAGTCTCCTCCGTCGTAGTGTTAGGATCTTTGATATGGACATGGATAAGACTAGCTCTACTTTGTATGTGTTGTATGTCGATGACTCTAGTATGACTGGTTCCCATTACCCCGTGTTGCCTAGTGTAGGTGTGCCCAGTGTGCCTAGTGTAGGCTCTCCTGCTACGTCAGGCGTAGGACCCTTTGCTTTGTTTAGCCTTGGCTCCACCCTAGCTCCTCCACCTCCAGCCTCCACTGCCGCGCTCTTCTTCACTCTCGACTCTGTCGCGTCTTGGTGTTTCTTTCGGGACCACACTACGCTTACGCCGCTTGCCGTCCCAGCCGTAGTTGCCCTACAGACCCTTCCTCAGATCCGGTAGTCGCCCGTAGTTCCACCACCCTCCCCTGTCCGGCAGTTCCTTTGGGCTCTCTTACAGGCCTGCACATCCCCTCGTTCTCTCGGAATTTAGTTGGTGTAGGCTGTCTTCAGGACCTCGGCGTCACCACTACGCTCCCTGGGCATGAGAGGTATGCTGTTTGTACCGAGGCTGCCACTGGTGCCCCCCTCACCACGTTCCCCCAGGACCCGGTGTCTGGCCTGTTCACGCTGGACACCGCGTCCCCCCCTGTTGGGACGCCCCCCCAGGTGGCAGCGTCTACCCAGGTTGCTGCGCCTTGCTCGTGTCGGTCGCTTACTCACCCGTCGCTGCTGTGGCACCACTGCCTAGGTCACCCCGTCCTCACACGTCTCTGGCAAATGTCTCAGCACGGTCTTGTCTTTGGTCTCCCTGCGTCGTTCCCTGCGCTCCCCCCCTTGGCAGCGCCTCCGTGCACCCCATGCGTCGAGAACCGGCTCCGCTGTGCCCCTCACTCCTCCTTGTTCCCCCCCACCACCGCACCGTTACAGACCCTGCACATGGACGTCTGGGATCCCGCCCCCGTCCATGGGCCACATCGTGAGCGTTACTTCCAAGTGCGTGTCGACGACTACACTCGCTACACCACCGTGTTTCCACTGGAGCGGAAGGCCGACGTGCCCGACGTTCTTATCCCGTGGCTTCTCTCTGCGCGTGTGCACCGAGGTCTCCCTGTGTTGTGTGGCTTCTCTCCGACCGTGGTGGCTAGTTCACCTCTGGCTGCCTTGGTCGCTTCTGTCGTGTGGAGGGTATCACCCAGACGTACACCCTGCCAGACTCCCCGCAGCAGAATGGGGTCTCTAAGCGACGCATCGGCTTGGTCATGGAGGTGGCTTGTACATCCATGATCCATGCCGGTGCACCCCATTTTCTGTGGCCGTGCGCCGTTGGCTACGCCGCCCACGAGCTTAACGTGTGGCCTCACCCTCAGCGGCCGCAGGTTTCGCCGACTCTCCTCTGGACCGGATCTCCTGGTGACGCGTCTGCGTTCCACGTTTCGGGCTGCCTTGCTCACGTTCGTGCCTCTGACACGGACAAGCTCACTGCCCGCACCGTCCCCTGTGTTTTTCTAGGTTTCCCCCTCGACTCGTCTGATTGACACTTCTACCACCCGTCGTCTCATCGTTTCCTTCACTCTCGCGACGTCACCTTTGACGAGTCCGTATCCTTCTACCACCGCTTTCCCCACCGTGGTCCCCCGATCACCCCCCAACCCAGTTCCTGGTTCCCCCCCCTCCCTCGGTCGCCCCTGTTCCCCCCCTTCCCCGCCGTGCCCCGTCTAGTGTGCCTCACGTCACCCGCCTCCCGTCGGTTGTCCCTGCCGAGGGACTTGCTAACTCTTGCGCCTCGACGGAGTCCCTTCCCCTGCCTGTCCCCGCCCTTGTCTCTCCTCCCCTGTCACCATCGTTGCTGTTACAACCACAGCCACAGCCGCCTCCGCAGCTGCCATAGCTGCCGCAGCCACAGCAGCAGTCGCAGCCGCCGTCATCACCGCTGCTGGAATTTGTGCGTTCTGGGGGTGCTGGGGAGCGTGCTGGGGCAGGTACTGGAGCGGGTTCCCGTTCTGGGGGTGCTGGTGTGGGGCTTCCTAGAGGGAGCCGTGGTCCTGCTGGAGGTTCTAGTGTTGGCGTCGGGCAGCAGTCGTTGCAGTCGCTCTTCGCCACATCGGCCTTCCTTCTCCTCACCGCCCACCGGTGCCTCCTCCGTCACCGCCGCCTCCTCCTCTGCCGGTCTACGGCCCTGTGTTTCCTCACGTCGACTCTTCTCCGGCTCGTTTCCCTTCTCATTATTTTCCTGTGTCTCCTCGCCTCTCTCCTGACCCGACTCCTCCGTCTCACGTTTGGGCTCGTCGTCTATCTCGTGCTCGTCCTACCTCCCCTGTTCTTCGTTCTCACCCTATGCTTCTTCGCTCCCAATTGTCTCGTGCTCCCCCACTCCTCTTGTCTCCTCCTCTGTCGTCGCTCGCTGTGGCCCAACCTCCGTTTTTCTGACTTCCTCTGTGCTGCGCATCCCCTTGTCCCTCGTGTCCTTGCCTCCCTCGTTACCGACCCGTCCGTTCCTGTCTCGCGCCTTGACGCTCTTGTCGCTGCTGACGCTAACTTCGCCGCTACCTGCCACCTTGACTACGCCACCGCTTTGATCTCTGACCCTGCCTGCCCTTGGCAGTGGCCTCCCAGAGGACAGGTGGTACAAGCTTGCTTTCCTGTCATAGGCCGCTCCCCATCACTGTTCCATGCTGCTAGTCCCTGAGGGTGACCCAGACGCCCTTGACAACCTGACCCCTTGCACGTACGATGAGGCCACCTCGGGACCCTGGGCCTCTCAGTGGATAGCTGCCATGGAGCAGGAGATGGCATCTTGGAGATCCATTGGTACCATTGTCAACGCAGTTCCCCCACCTGGGGTGAACGTAGTCGATGGCCGATGGCTCTTCAAGGTGAAGCGCCCTCCTGGAGAGCCGCTTGAATTCAAGGCGCGCTATGTTGCTCGTGGCTCCAGTCAGCGTGAGGAGGTCGACTACTTTTTGGGTACTACTACACGTAGCAGCACAGTGTGACTACGAGCTGCACTCCCTCGACTTCTCCATCTCTTTCCTCTAGGAAAGTCTACACGAGCAGGTCTACCTGCGCCGTCCCCAGGGCTTCTCCGGAACCTTTTCCCCTGGTACTGAGTGGCTCCTTCGGCGCCCTGTCTATGGCCTACGCCAGGCGCCACGTGAGGGGCACGACATGCTGCGTGCTACACTTGCTGACCTGCAGTTCTTCCTGTTGTCTGCGGACCCCTCGCTCTTCGTCCGCTTCGGCCAGACTCGGTTCTACATCCTTGTTTACGTAGACGATATTGTCTTTGCTATACTGCAGACAGAGATGCACTCGCCTCCGTGAGGGCCGAGCTTTTGAGGAGACACACATGCACTGGCCTAGGAGAGCTACGCTGCTACCTTGGTTTGTAGATCTCTAGGGACAGAGCAGCGCGCACCATCACTCTCACACAGTCACACTTGGTGCGCCAGGTCCTTCAAAGGTTCGGCCTTCAGTTCTCTTCCGCACAGCCCACCCCTCTGCAAGTAGACCACCGACTCTTTGCTCTAGTCCCGAAGGAGGCTGTAGAGCCTAGTGGTCCTTACGCAGAGCTAGTGGGCTGCCTCATGTACCTAATGACTTGCACTCGTCCAGATCTCGCATACCCTCTCAGCATCCTGGCCCGCTTTGTGGCCTCTGGTAGACACCAACCACAGCACTGGTCTACAGCTAAGAGGGTTATGCGTTTTCTAGCAAGTTCATCGTGCATGGGGCTAGTGCTACAAGGACGTAGACCAGTGGTCCTTACCTGGCACACAGACGCTTCTTGGGCAGATGACGCCGAGACTCTCAGGTCCTCCCAGGGCTACAGTTTTAGCCTTGGTGCAGGTGCTGTCTGGTGGAGGTCCACCCGCTCGTCGTCTGTTACCCAGTCTAGCTGTGAGGCTGAGATCTACACCGGTGCCATGGCGGCACAAGAGCTCCGTTGGCTTACTTTCTTGCTCACAGACTTATGTGAGCAGCCTAGCTCTGCCCCGGTCCTGTGCACTGACAGCAGGCCCATGATCCTCCTCTGTCAGGAGCCCAGACTCGAGGGCAGAGCGAAGCACATCCAGCTGCGGTACTTCCTCCTGCCCGAGCTACAAGAGCGTCGCCAGGCCCGTGTAGTACATTTGGCCTCAAGTGCCAACACAGCTGATGTGTTTACGAAGGCGCTTGCGCCTAAAGATCATCAGTGGCATTGTGTACAACTTGGACTCGTTCCTGTAGCACCTCATTTGCTAGGACCTTGATTGTGTATAAGTGTTTATATATTATCCTGACTGGCCTTGTGGCTTCCTCCCATAGGCTGGACTAGTAGTGGAGACAGTTGGGCTCTGTCCAAGAATACACGTCTTCGTTCTTGGCATTGTGCGATCAAATTGGAGGGCTTAGGGAAGACGAGAAGATCGATCGCTACGTGGGTGGTCTCAAGCCAGAGATTCAGCAAGAGATCATCCTGCGAGCCCTGGCAACATTCAACGAAATTGTCCGAATCGCGAATGCGCTGGACGCAAGGCGTGGACTCGTGAGGGCGGGTTTCCTGGAGGGAAATTGCTTTAGAGGCCAGCCCCAACACACATCAATCAACGGCGTGGACGTGTTTGCAGCCCTGGAATTTTCCGTATGCTGTTTCCACTGCAATCAGCCGGGCCACATGGTGAGGGACTGCCCGCAGCTGAAGAAGAACTTAGCTAATGACGGGAAGCAGTCAAGAAATGGAGATCGTCAGTAGCAGATGGGCCACCTACTGACTTGACTGCGTCGCCCAAACGCCGACACCCCCACCAAGTTACAGTGCCGATTTGGGCTATCGACAATTCCTGGCTGAATAAGGGGGGTGAACCGGTTGATCGCCCTGTGCTGGTTGAAGGAAGAGTTGGCAACACCCGCATCAAAATATTTGTTGATGGTGGGGCAAGCCACAGTTTGATGGAGGTGACAAAAGCGACAAATTTCTGATTGCAGTTGGAACGTTGCATGTCCGAAATCGACACGAGGTTGGTTGACGGTACCCCACTAGCGATTCGAGAGCACGTGCCTCACGTGCGAGTCACCTGTAGCGAAAATTTCAGTTTCACGACGAAGATGCTGGCGACAACTTTGTACTGGTGCGACATGCTGCTGGGACGCGATTGGCTGCGCGAATACAACCCGAGCATCGACTGGCGGACGAGCGATTGTCTCATCAAGTGGAGTGGCGAGTGGCGATGGCTACCCAAATGGAGCAGTCAAGACTCCACAACATCGACAGTCAGCACAGTGACTATATAGCGCGCGATAATTTGAGGAGCGCAACTGTATGCCGTCCGATGGATCGCATCAATGGCGGTCGACACGCCAACCGACATCGACAAACTCTGCGCAGCTGTATCGGATGATTTGGCAACAATGATTCGGAAGCATGCCGACATTTTTCCAGATGACCTACTAGCGGGCTTGCCACCTCACCGGCCGCATGACCACAAAATCGAGCTCGAACCTGGCGCGCAGCCTATTGTGCGGACCCAATGGCGGTTGACTCAGCCCGAGTTAGATGAACTTTGACGCCAGCTGGACTACCTGCTCGAGAAAGGTTTCGTCCATCCCAGCACATCACCATTTGCAACTCCGATCCTGTTCACACCGAAGAAAGATGGCGGTCGGCGTACGTGTATCGACTACCGTGCCTTGAATCGGGTTACCATCAAGTCTTGCTACCCCATCCCATGCGCAGACGACCTCATCGACCAACTTCGCGGGGCCAGATTCTTCTCGAAGATTGACCTTCGAGGCGGTTACCACCAACTTCGCGTGCACGAAGCTGACTGGTACAAGACGACGTTTCGGAACCGGTACGGGAGTTACGAGTACACGGTCATGCCATTCGGCTTAACAAACGCGCCTTCGAGATTCCAGTTGACCATGAACGAATTCTTGTCGGCCACTGCTAGATAAATGTGTCATCGTGTGCCTCGACGACATCCTCGTCTAGAGCACAACCCGGGATCAGCATTTGAACGATTTGGAAGTAGTTTTCTCTCTCCTGCAGCGAAGCCGACTCATCACCAAGGGCTCTAAGTACGAGTTTCTCAAGCACGAACTGGAGTTTTTGGGTCATATGATTTCCATCGACAGTGTTAAAATCGACCCTAAGAAAATTGGGACCATCTAAGACTGGAAGCCGCCGGCTAATCTACGCAAACTTCAGAGTTTTCTGGGGTTTGTTAATTACGTCCACCATTTCATTCCGAACATGGCGGGGGTAAATTCCCCTCTCACGGATCTACTGAAGAAAGGCACGTTTTATGAGTGGGGGGGAGAGCAGCAGGCTGCGTTCAAACAGCTCAAACTTTTCCTGACTACACCTCCGGTTCTTCGGATTGCAGATCCTCACCGTCCGTTCGAGCTCATCACCGACGTTAGCGATCTGGCCGTTAGCGCACTACTGTTACAAGACTTCGGCGAAGGTCTCCAACCCATCGCCTATGACTCACAAAAGCTGAACCCGACCGAGCGAAATTATCCTGTCCATTACAAGGAGTTACTCGCCATCGTTCACGCTTTCAAAGTCTGGCGCTGCTACCTGACGGGCACTGAAGTAACAGTCCGAACAGACCACAAGTCGCTACAGTTCATTCGCGCCCCAGAACGGACACTGAATCCCCGACAGATTCGCTGGCTCGACTACCTTGAGTCCAATTTCCACTACAGAGTCACCTACAAAGGAGGGGTTAGCAACATCGCCGACGCACTGACTCACCCCTCGGTCCACACCGTCGCAATCCTAATTACCCAAGCTAATCCGCTGCTAATTGGCCTATTCATCTACGGATACATTACTGACCCATTCTTCACCACTAACAGTCATCCCCAACTGACGGTCAAGCAAGGGGCCTATCATCTAAAATCCGGAACCCATCGGATTTGGGTTCCCGCCTACCGTACACTACGGGAATTACTGATCCAAGAGGCACATGACTCGATTTTTTTGGGTCACTACGGCATCGAATAAACCGCAAAATTACTGAGCCGTAATTATTACTGGCCCGACCTACCAACAGACGTGTAGCAGTACGTCACCTCCTGCTCCACGTGTCAACGCATGAAGTCTTCCCGACTTCGACCTGCTAGATTGCTGCAGCCGCTCAAGCCACCCAGCCGACCCTGGCAACAAGTGACGATGGACTTCGTTACTAGCCTGCTAGCAGGTTCAAGCGGTAACGGCGCGATCCTCGTCCTCGTTGACCGGTTGACCAAAATGGCCCATTTTGCCGCCTGCAAGACGACAATTACTGCCGAGCAGACAGCGAAATTGTTCCTCACGAACATCGTGCAGCTACACGGCATCCCATCGGCAATCATCAGCGGTCGTGACCCACGGTTCTCGTCCAACTTCTAGAGAAGTACCTGGCAGTAGTACGATACACGCCAGCATCTGTCCACGACATACTACCCACAATCAGACGGTCAGACTGAGCGCACCAAGCAGACGATGGAGCAGCTGCTTCGCACGACATGCACAAACCCGGCCCAATGGGAAGACGCCCTTCCCTTGATCGAGTTTGCATACAACAATGCCCCATCGGCCACAACTATCCACTCCCCATGCTTCCTTAATTACAGGATAGATCCGACAACCCCTCAATCACCACCGATAGAAAATACGGCACCGAGGTCTCAGCGGTTCGTTGAAAATCTCTGATAGTCTCAGCAAAAAGCCGCCGATGCCATCCTAAAAGCCAACCAGAGGGCTAAGTTGCAAGCTGACCGACGACGCTGAGACTTAACCCTTGTCCCTGGGCAATTGGTCCTGCTCGACACCAGGAATATGGGAATTTTCAAAATCTTTCGCCGCGCCTTTTCATCGATTTAACAAACTATGCTATTCTCTAGCAAATTTAGGCCAAGCAGCCTAACACTTGGTATCCAGAGCTTGGTGGGGAGCGATTTCCAACGAGCGACCGTCGACGACGAGACTATGCCGTCATTGTTTCGCAGTGCCAACTTGCAGACTTGGAGTTGTCGAGCCGACCATGGACACCGCCATGGCAACTCAACCCCAAGTCATGGGCAACGCGTTTGCCAGTCTCATGCAACAACTCAAAGCGCTGACATTGGAGAATTGTCAGGTACGGGTTGAAATGCAACAACTTCACAGTGCCGAGGGTAGAGGATCTTATAGATACAGTACAAGACGCTAGAATCTTCTCCAAGATCGATCTTCATTCAGGATATCACCAGATTCGAGTTGTTCCAGAGGATCAGGATAAGACAGCATTCCGTACGAAGGAGGGGTTGTACGAGTTCAGGGTCTTGCCATTCGCAAGACCTCAAAGATTTTTTGCAGGTGCTCTATGTGCTCTTCAAGCATCTTGGAGTAGACTAGGATGTCGTCTATGTAGACTGCAACGAAGGACCCGATGACCTCCACTAGCACGCTATTCATGAGCAGATGAAGCAGTCTCTTACATCCTCACCGACTCTTTCATACCCCGATCCAACTCGCTCGTACGTAGTAGTGACCAACGCATCACATCAGGCCATCGGAGCAGTACTTCTTCAAGACCAGGGCTGCGGGTTGCAGCTGATCGCGTACGAGTCGCGCAAGCTGAGAGGAGCGGAGCTGAACTATCCGATCCATGACAAGGAAGCGCTAGCAATCATCCACGCGTACAAGGTATGGAGGTGTTACTTAGAGGGGGCAAATAGTGTCGTACGCACAGACGATTGCTCGCTATGGTTCCTTAAAGCGAGAGACTATAATAGTGACCCCCCATTCTAGTTGGGCCCAACTAGAAACGACCCAACTGTGCATATGTTTTTCGAGGGGCGGGCAGCAGCCCCCGTTCTTTACCAAGCCGTAAGCCATGAAATCGAATTGCGCTTGCGACATTTCGCACTGGCGACAAATTTTACGACCACAGATTTGCGCGGTTAGCATTTCGACCAATCGGGGCCCAGCCTCGGTTTTGCCGGAGTAGTGAACCCGAGTCCAACTTGAACTTCAAGTTGGGCCCACTTGGTGCAGCTTACAAGCAGTGAGGGCTGGGCGACAGGTGGCGCGCTGCTCGCGAAATTGCCCAAACCATTTTCCCCACCGTACGATATGATTTCTCCGCCAACCAATCAGGTAACTGCATCTTCTCGCCCAGTTTCCCCTGCTTGCATTTCTCGATAGTGTACCCTCTTCCCCGTCGCAGTTTTGTCCCTTAGTCGCAAAAACGGACGTCTGGGCCTTTTCAAGTTGGACCCGCCTTCACTATTTTGACCTTTCGCTTTAAGTCACAACGACAGCTTAGTCGCCGCCAGGCAAGATGGATGGAGTTCATGGAGGGGAGTTTCCACTACACGATAGAGTACAAGCCAGGCGTGCGCAACCCAGCAGATCCACTTACTCACCCTAGTTGCCAGGTCGCTAGTCTCACAGTCACTGCTGGCCATCCACTTCTCACAACTGTCTTCGAGCACAGATACATTGTAGATCCAGACTTCACGCCACAGCCGCCCGCAGGAGCAGAGGTGCAGGGTAGTTTCTACATTTGGAAGGGTACCTCATGGATTTGGGTTCCTGCCTACCGCCCTCTTCACCAACTCCTACTCTCAGAGGCGCACGACGTAGTTAGTGCAGGTCATTTCGGGGCAGATAAGACAGTTAAGACACTTTAGTTGCACGTACTTTTGGCCAGGGCTTGCAGACAAAGTAGAGGATTACACTCGCTCGTGTGATTCTTGTCAGCGCACTAATTCCTCTCGCCAGCGTAAAGCCGAAATTCTCCAGCCGATTCCACCACCCGATCGCCCTTGGCAGGTAGTTACGATGGATTTCATCATGGCCTTACCACGGAAGGTTAAGGTTCATGACGATCTTCATCGTAGTGGATAAGTTCTCTAGAGTAGCACACTTCATCCCCACGCATGACATGGTTACAGCAGAGGAAGTCGCGATGATGTTCGTAGATAACGTAGTCCGATTGCACGGAGTTCCAGATTCCATCATCTCAGACCGCGATCCTCGTTTCACCTCTAAGGTTTGGAAGCAGCTCTTCGCTCTCCTTGGGACTCTGTTAGCTATGTCATCAGCTTACCACCCAGAGACAGATGGACAGACAGAGCGTGTCAGCCAGACCTTGGAGCAGATCCTTCGCATCATCACTATGCATGATGCAGCAGCTTGGGACAAGAAGCTGAGCATGGCTGAGTTCGCCTACAACAACACGCATCACTCGTTCACAGGCACGTCACCATTCTTCGCACTGTACGGTCAGCATCCCAATGTTCCCACTCGTGTCAACATCGCACCCACGGTCCCACGTACTGACAACTTCCATCAGCATCTCACCTTCATTCACGAACACGTAAGGAAACACCTTGCGCTCGCTAATGCACGCATGGCACGCACCACCAATCGTAGTCGGCGAGATGTGTCCTTTTCCATCGGAGATCGAGTGCTTCTCCATAGCCAGAACCTTCGTGTCCCGCAGGATAGCAAGCTCCGCTCTCGTTTCATTGGTCCATTCGTCATTGAGCGTATCATAGGTCCAGTAGCATGTCACATTCGCCTTCCTCCACACTTTTGCATGCATCCCACCGTTCATGTGTCACTCCTTCGTCCTTACGCCGGTTCCAACACCGCCTTCTCAAGTCGTGATCGCACTCCACTGCCGGTAGTCGTCGACACCGAGGAGCCCAACTACCAGATCTTGCGCATCCTCCGTCGCCGTCACTGACTTCAGGAGGGTGTCTCCTTCCTCGACTTCTTGGTCCGTTGGCGTGGTTATGACGTAGCCGACGACAGCTGGGTTCCTTTGGCTTCGCTGTCTCCTGACAATTTGTGCCTCCAGGCGTATCTTCAGGCTGCAGGCGCCGCGGACGTCACCTCATTGGGAGAGGGGTAGTGTTCCGGAGTAGTTTACTGTTCACAGGGTTATTACCCCCACAGCACTGTTCATCCCATCCCAACCTTATCTCCTCACAATCCAACTCAAATTTCCAATTGCTACGTGGCTCTCTAGTTTCGCCACGTAATCCCATCTGTCCCACAAACTATTTTCCCACAACCGTACTTGCATGCTTTAAAACCTTGCTTGTATTCTCCAAAATCATCAATCATTGCCCAATTACTTCTTCACATACTTCACCAACAACTTCTTTGCCAAAGTCTTCCACCGTGCTTTTTAATCGATTTAACCAACTCCGCTATTCTCTAGCGGATTTAGGCCAAGGGGCCTAACAACTAGCTACAGATGCAACTTTCTTCTACAGATACAAGTCTATGAATAAGCGTTGACCAACATCACTGGCAACGTGACCAAATACACCTATTCCACGATAATGTCACAGGGTCAAAGTTGAAGGGCGACGAGATTCGACTTGGAGAGCGCCACGAAAGAGCGGCGCAAACTCAGAATCAGACCTGGAAAGCTACGTTGACTGCTGAAGGTGCATGCATTTGATTCTTGGGGAATTTACACCACCAATAGAGAACTAACAAATTAGGATTACGAATTTGGAGCAATCCAACAAGGATGCCCAAACTCTGCCCAAGGAGATTTTTTGGAGGTTGGATTTCACCCAACTCGGGGTAATCTAATAGGGGTTAAAAATGCTAGCATCAAAACTGCCTTGCCAAACACCATTGAACTTGGGGTCCTTCAGCCTAACTCGAAGCGTTAAGCCCAGGTCCCAAGTGTCAAACTTATATTGTATGTTGTTATAAACTATATAGGGTTGTGCCTTAGGGAGTACAGCCCATAAGGTTATATTCCCTTGTATGTCACTGTTCTAGTCATTCGTTCACTTTAACATGGTATCATGCGTAGGTTAGGTCCCCCCCCGCCCACTAGCGCTTCCGCCGTAGGTTCTAGCCGCCTCGCCGCCCGTGTCGGCCCCGTCCCCTAGCGGCCCCGCGGCCTCGTTACCTAGCGGCTCCGCGGCCCTGTCACCTAGCGGCCCCGCGGCCCCGTCACCTCGTGGCCCCACGGCCCCGTCACCTAGCGGCCCCGCGGCCCCGTCACCTAGCGGCCCCGCGGCCCCGCGGCCCCGTCACCAAGCGGCACCGCGGCCCCGTCACCTAGCGGCCCCGTGGCCTTGTCCCCTCGTGGTCCCGTCACCTAACAGCCCCGCGGCCCCGTCACCTAGCGGTCCTGCGGCCCCGTCACCTATCGGCCCCGCGGCTCCGTCGCCTAGCCGTCTCGCCGGCCCCGTCGCCTAGAAGGCCTCATCGCCTAGCAAGCCCTGTCGCCCAGCTGGCCCCGTCTCCTAGTCGGCCCCGCCTCCTAGCCATCCCAGCTTCCCAGCTGGCCCCGTCGCCTCGCCAGCCTAGTCGCCCAGTCGGCCCCGTCTCCCAGCCGGCCCCGCCTCCTAGCCGACCCTGTCGCCTAGCTGCCTCGTCACCTCCACGCCTAACCGGCCCCGTCGCCCCACCGGAAGCGGCCCCGTCTTCCGACGCCTCGCCGCCGTCCTCGGCCCTCTGCACCACGTTGCACCGCTCGGCACCGCTCTGCACCGCACTGCACTGCTCTGCACCGCTCTATACTGCACTACACCGCATTGTACCGCATTGCACGGCCCTGCACCGCACTGCACCGCGCTGTACAGCGGTGCACCGCCCATCACCACTTTTTGCCGCACCCTACTGCTTAGTACCACCTTTCTGCCGCTGCAGCGACCATGATGACGGACTCGGTCTTGCATTTTGATGCGGAGGGGCAGCCGATTGAGTTCGAGTCGTGGCTCGTCAACCTCCAACGACACTTGACTGGTCAGCGGTAGGACGGCCACTCCCTGGCCGTCCACATCGACGGTACGCTCCCCCGCCCGGACCCCCCTGCTGCTCTACCCGCTCAACCCACATCTGCTGATCGTGAGTCCGCTGCCGCCGCTGCCCTTGCACGTGCCGTCTGGTTATCGCGTAACGATGTTGCACAGCTTGCGATTAGTCATGCCCTCCCCCTATCCGAGCGCCCCCGCTTTAGGTCAGTTAGGACTGCGCAGGAGTTTTTAGAGGCTGTTGTCACCCGCTATTCCACCCCGCCCTCAGCCTTCGTCGGTCGCTTGATCCTTCCCATGCTCTTTCCTGATCTCGCGTCTTTCCCTACTGTCGCTGACCTGGCCGCCCACTTGCGCACACTAGACACGACCTGGTGCGCTGCCTGCACCGAGGCCCAGCTTCGTGTGTTTCAGCCCCTCATCTGCTCTACCCTCTACCTGCTTGCCACCCGCCTCCCTGACTGCCTTGCCACCACCCGCGATCACTTCCTTAGTCTCCACCCCGCTGACCTCACCCTCACTGACTTTGTCGACACCCTGTCTGCCGTAGAGACTCGTCAGCGCTCTATCGCCCAGTCTAACGGTACCATGCTGGTCTCTATCTTTCAGGGCTGTGCCACTGCTCAATGCACTTACTCTGACGGCTCTGCTGCGATTGCTGAGACAAATCCGGCTGCGGAGACAGCCGCCGCAGTCCTGTTTCGTCCGGGTAAGGGTCGCCGCCCCAAGGCTGGGCACGGCTGAGGTGGCGAAGGAGGGGGTGGCGTCGGTGGTGGAGGTGGCTCGCCCGCTGGTAGTACTGACGAGGGGGCTGGGGCTGGTGCCTCGAAGCAGCAGTCCCAGCAGCAGCAGCAGGCGCCGTCGCTTGACCAGCAGCACCCGCAGCAGCAACAGCAGCAGCCGCCGCAGCAACAGCAGAATAGCGGTGGGTCGGTCGTCTCCTCCCCGGGTGGCCTGGACCTGGCGGGGACAGTAGTCGCAGTAGTCGTGCGTGCGGCGTGCTGTCGGGTGGTGGTCAGAGTGATGGGCACTGCCAGTACCAGCTTCATACCGGTACTCGCCGCGGCCTCGTGTGCGGTAAGATCGGCCATACCCCCGCTCGTTGCTTTCGTCGCCTAGACGACCTGTTTTGTCTTCGCTTCGGCACGTCGCGTGACCTCCCCGACTGGCACAGTCTGCTCTGTCGCCGTGTTCAGATCTTTGATATGGACATGGATGAGATTAGCTCTCCTTTGTATGTGCTGTATGTTGATGACTCTAGTGTGACTGGTTCCTATTACTTTGTGTTGCCTAGCATAGGTGTGCCCAGTGTGCCTATTTCAGGCTCCCCTGCTGCGTCAGGTGTAGGATCCCCTGCCTTGTTTAGCCTTGGGTCCTCCCTCACTCCTCCGACCTCTGTCGCTGCTGTCGCGCTCTCCTTCACCCTGGACTCCGGCGCTTTCTGGTGTTTCTTTCGCGACTCCACAACACTTACGCCACTTGCCGCTCCTGCTGCAGTTGCTCTTGCAGACCCTTCCTCCGGTCATGTGGTCGCCTGTACCACCACAACTCTCCCATGTCCGGCAGTTCCCTCGGGCTCCCTTACAGGCCTGCACATCCCCTCGTTCTCTAGGAACCTAGTTGGTGTTGGCTGCCTCCAGGACCTTGGCGTCACCACTACGTTCCCAAACCACGAGCGGTATGTCGTCTGTACTGAGGCCGCCACTGGTGCCCCCCTCACCACGTTCCCCCAGGACCCGGTGTTTGGCCAGTTCACGCTGGACACCGCGTCCCTCCCGGTTGGGACGCCTCCCCAGGTAGCAGCGTCTTCCCCGATTGCTGCGGCTTGCTCGTGTCGGTCGCTTACTCACCCAACGCTTCTGTGGAACCACCGTCTAAGTCACCCCGCCCTCACCCGTCTCTGTCATATATCCCAGCATCGCCTTGTCCTAGGCCTCCCTGAGTCGTTCCCGGTGCTCCCCTCCTTACCCGCGCCTCCGTGCACGCCCTACGTCGAGGGTCGGCTTCGCCGTGCCCCTTACTCCTCCTCGTTCCCCCCCACCTCCGCACCACTGCAGACCCTGCACATGGATGTCTGGGGCCCCGCCCCCGTCTATGGGCCACGTCGCGAGCGCTACTTCTTAGTGCTTGTCGATGACTACACACGCTACAGCACCGTGTTTCCCTTGGAGCGGAAGGCCGACATGCCTTACGTTCTTCTCCTGTGGTTTATCTCTGCGCGTGTTCACTGAGGTCTCCCTGTCTTGCGTCTTCACTCCGACCGTGCTGGCGAGTTCGCCTCTGGCTGCCTTGGTTGCTTCTGTCGTGCGGAGGGCATCACCCAAACGTTCACCCTTCCGGACTCCCCGTAGCAGAATGAGGTCGCTGAGCGACGCATCGGCTTGGTCATGGAGGTGGCCCGCGTACGCTCGAACACACTCGAAGCCTTGGGATGGTTCCGGACCTTTCTGACAGAACCGCCTCAGCTTCTCCAGACCTTCTAGTTCGACCTTCGGGAGTTCTCCGGGCCTCGCTTCGTCACTCCGAGACCCTTCGATCTCTTTCCCGAACCTTCACATCTCATGGTTAGACTAGCTCTGGTGTTCATTGATTGAACACTTCGTTATTCATTTCCGCACTACTCTGCTTGTTCATTCGTAACACCTGGTATTCAGAGCCACTTTCCTCGCTCACCCGTTTTCGTGAGTTGATTTTTGGGGGGGGGGGGGGGGTGGGAAAGTCCCTCACGTTGCTCGCGAATTAGACTGATTAATTCGCCCAACTACGATAGCGTTTGCGCTTACCTGAGTACAGGCACATTACGGATTTCCCCTTGCCCCGGCGGAGCATTCGCCAAATGGACCAAGCTCAGTTCAACGAGCTTCGGGAGCAGTTCAACGCCATGAACACATGCATGGCTACAGTGCTGGAGGACAACGAGCGACTTCGTGCAGAAATTGCCGAGTTACGCCAGGCGCGAGAGGATTCGCCAACTGCCGCCCAAGAGGAGGTCGCCAACACCGGACGTGTCGAAACCATTTTGGACGAAATCGCACGTGAGGTGTCGCAGGAGCGCAAGGACAGCGAAGCTACCGCAGCAGCTGACGTGCCCGCACGAGCAGCAATCGAAGCAGCAGCAGCAGCAGCAGCGACAGCAGCAGCCGTCCGGCCAGAAGCAGCCGCTACTGTAGCTGCACCGCATTCGTGCCAATAATGATGACAGCGACGATCAAGCCGACGATGCCGCCCCCGTTCAACCCCACAGATAAGAATACTACTGTTACGGGCTGGTTTTTTTTGTCGGAGCTGTATTTTAATGCCGCTGGGATCACTGCTGACGATTTAAAAATATGGCTGGCTGTATCATTACTGCGGGGACATGCGCTAGATTGGTGGCGATATACATTACAGGAAGGGGAGTTTCCGGCAGGCGACACACAAGGGTTTTTTGGAAACTTTGGGTCTGCTGCCCAAGGGTCAACCGCGATTTTCGGATCGACCAAGATTCGCACGTGGAAGGCGTGGGGTACAGCTCTGCGTGAACGGTTCGAGCCAATATCTTCCTCGGACAACGCACGTACAAAGCTGGACAACTGGCACCAGTGGAGTTCTGTCCAAGATTACGCGTCGGTCTTCATGGCATCATGCGATCAAATCACCGACATGCATGACTCCGAGAAGAAAGCTTGATTCATTTTGGGTTTGAAGCAGGACATAAAATGCGAGGTCCAACTACGACTTCCGGCAACGTTCCACGAAGCAGTCCGGATCGCAGACACTTTCGACGCACATCGGACGTATGCGAGAGCGGGTTCCCGGGAGGGAAATCGTTTTCGTGGCCAGGATCCACGGCCCACGATTCACGGCGTAGTGGCGAGGGAGCACATGGAAGATTTTCGCAAGGGACAATGTTTCAACTGCCACCAGCCGGGTCACCAATCTTACGATTGCCCCCGAAGGAAGCAGATAAAGAAGAATGATGAAAGCAGGTCGGGAAACGCCAAGCGTCAGTAGCGGTCCGGCCCCCTACTGACCATGCTTCATCGCCCGAAAAACACCATCCCCACCGGGTAGTGGTTCCGATACACGCTATCAACCGCTACTGGCTGAATAAGGGGGATGACCCAGTGGACCACCCTGTACTAGCGGAGGGACGACTCAATGGAAGAAAAAATAAAAATATTCATCGACGGAGGTGCGAGTCACAGCCTGATAAATCGAGAGACAGCACGAAGACTACACTTATTGCTGGAGCGGTGTCTGCCCGAAATCGACGCGCGACTGGTGGATGGCACCCCACTGGCGATTCGCGACAGAGTACCCGTCGTTTGAATGAAGTGTGGCGAAGATTTCGGCTTTAGCGCGCCGATATTGGCGGCAACACTCGACGGCTACGATGTACTGTTGGGACGCGACTGGCTGCGAAGATTCAACCCGCAGATCGATTGGTCGACAGGCGAGTGCACAGTGAAGTGCGAAAAAGGCTGGCAAAAATTACCCACGTGGCCGGAAGCGGAGTCGACACCGACACGAGTCAACGCGGTGTGCCTCAAACGAGCGGTCAAGAATGGAGCGGATTTATACGCCGTCCATCTAACCGAATCAACGGAGCAGAATGAGGCGACCGACATCAACAAACTCTGCGCTTCGGTCCGGGATGACTTGGCAACAATCATTCGGGAATATCCTGAGATTTTCCTGGACGATTTGCCAAGTGGACTGCCACCCGAACGACCCCAGGACCACAAAATCGAGCTGGAGCCCGGTGCGCAGCTTACTATACGAACCCAATGGCGCCTGACTCAGCCGGAGCTACACGAATTACGAAACCAGCTGGACTACTTGGTGGCAAAAGGGTTTATTCGGCCGAGCACGTCCCCGTTCGCAGCACCGATCCTGTTCACACCAAAAAAGGACGGCGGACTTCGCATGTGTACGGATTATCGCGCCCTTAATCGGGTAACGATAAAATCGCGCTACCCAATCCAACGCACGGACGAGCTGATTGACAACCTTCGCGGAGCTCGCTACTTTTCGAAGGTCGACCTTCGAGGGGGTTACCATCAAATTCGGGTGTTCGCTGACGACTGCCACAAGACCGCGTTTCGTACTCGCTACGGGAGTTACGAATACACGGTAATGCCGTTTGGATTAACGAACGCCCCCTCGACGTTCCAGCTCACAATGAACGGGGGTGTTTCGCGATCTACTCGACAAATGTGTGATAATTTACCTGGACGACATCCTGATCTACAGCACGACCCGGGAGCAACATTTGAAATACCTGGAAGCTGTTTTTCAGCGGCTGCAGTAGCATCGTCTCATCACCAAGGGCTCCAAGTGCGAGTTTTTAAAACAAGAACTGGAGTTCCTGGGGCACGTGATCTCCACGGAGGGGATTCAAATAGGCCCGAGAAAACTCAGGGCTATTCAGGAATGGAAACCACCAACAAACCTGCAACAGCTGCAATCTTTTCTGGGTTTTGTAAATTACGTGCGGCAGTTTATACCCAACATGGCAGGGTTAACTGGACCTCTAACCGGCCTACTGCAGAAGGGGACTTTTTACGAATGGGGGGAGAGGCAGCAAGCTGCGTTCGAGGCATTAAAAAATCTTTTAATGTCGCCACCGGTACTTCGCATCGCTGACCCGGAACGGCCCTTCGAAGTCATCACCGACGCAAGTGACGTCGCCATCGGAGCTGTGCTCATGCAAGATTTCGGCAATGGTCTTCAACCAATCGCGTACAAGTCTCTCAAAATGCAATCTGCCGAGCGCAACTACCCGGTACACGACAAGGAGATGCTGGCGATTGTCCACGCGTTCAAAATCTGGAGGTGCTACCTGACTGGAGCAGACGTGACGGTGCGAACCGATCATAAATCTCTACAGTACCTGAGAGCGCAGCCGAATCTCAACCCGCGGCAGATACACTCGCTGGACTATCTGGAATCCAACTTCACGTACAAGATCACGTACAAAAAGGGTGCCAACAATATTGCAGACGCCCTTTCCAGACCGTCTGCCCAACTAGCAGCAGTACTAGTCGCCCAGAGCAACCCGCTACTTAGTGGACTATTTACCCACGGGTATTCGACGGACCCTTTCTTCGTAAACGACGACCATCTCCCAATCACTACACGGAAAGGCGTCTATTACTTACGAAGCGGAACAGATCGAATTTGGGTCCCAAGTTATCGTCTAATTCGCGAATTACTAATTCAAGAAGTCCACGATTCGAATTTATCGGGACATTTCGGGGTTGATAAAACTCTGAAGGCGTTGCAGCGGTTTTATTACTGGCCAGATATGGTGACGGACGTGCAGCGTTATGTGGCCGCGTGTCCGGTCTGCCAGCGAATGAAAGCATCACATCAGTGACCGACGGGACTGTTGCAGCCCCTCGAGCCACCTCAACGCCCATGGCAACACGTGACGATGGATTTCGTCACGGGTCTACCGGCCGGATCCAGCGGAAACGATGCAGTATTTGTTGTTGTCGACTGATTGACGAAAATGGCGCATTTCGCACCATGTCGTACAACTATCACAGCCGAAGAAACCGCGCAACTGTTCATCTCGACCGTTGTTCGCCTACACGGGATACCAGCAGCAATCATTAGCGATCGAGACCCGAAGTTCACGTCGAAATTTTGGCAGTACACGTGGGCTCGGTACGGCACGCGCCTGCAGTTCTCATCCGCTTATCATCCCCAAACGGACGGTAAGACTGAAAGGACAAACCAAACGATGGAGCAGCTGATTCGGACAAACTGCCCTGACCGAAACAAATGGGAGGATGCGATTTCGATGTTGGAATTTTCCTAAAACAACGCGCCCTCATCTACGACTAATCACTCCCCGTTTTACCTCAATTACGGGATGGACCCCACAGTATCTATCTCCACCAATATTGAGAGTCAAGTACCACGGTCGCAGCAGTTCGTGAAAGAATTACAGACTGCCCGAGACAAAGCTGTCGAACTTATTCGCAAGGCGAACGCTACTGCCCGACGGTATGCAGACTTACATCGACGGGATATTACAATGGTAGCCGGGCAACTAGTCCTTTTGGACACCAAGAATTTACGACTGCCACTACCAACGAAATTACGACCACGTTTCTGTGGCCCATTCAAGATCATGAAGATGGTGACGCCGGTGACCGCCCAGTTGCGCCTACCTGACGACTGGCGTATTCACAACAAGTTCCAAGTGAGCCTGTTGCGACCTTTCGTACCCGACACATCGGACATCGCCCGACAGCGATTGGTGCCAGATGTACGGCCACCAGCAGAGACGACCATCGAACCTTCAAAGATTTTGAGCCATCGGCTTCGTATCAACGGCCAAGGACGACACGTTGACTTCCTGATATGATGGACCAATCGTACCAATGAGGACGACACGTGGGTGCCCTCGGACCAGATAAAGTCACCTCCAATACTTGCGAATTATTTGGCCCGCAAGCACGTGACTGATATAGATCACCTTCGCTAAGGGGGGGGGGGGGGGTGGTGTAAGGAATTTTCTATTCCTTACCGAGCGGTACTGCAATCGCGTACGCTCGAACACACCCGAAGCCTCGGGATGGTTCCGGACCTTTCTGACAGAACCGCCTCGGCTTCTCCAGACCTTCTAGTTGGACCTTCGGGAGTTCTCCGGGCCTCGCTTCGTCACTCCGAGACCCTTCGATCTCTTTCCCGAACCTTCATATCTCATGGTTAGACTAGCTCTAGTGTTCCTATATCTTGGCTTGCCATTCCTTGTATCGTCATTCAGTGATTGAACACTTCGTTATTCATTTCCGCGCTACTCTGCTTGTTCATTCATAACACCGCGGCACTAGCCGCACTGCGGCAAAGCTGCTGAACGCAACTGAGAGCAATTGAAGACTACAGGCATTTCCGGACACCATTACTTAGTGTAAAATATCGAGACTTCTGCTATCGTAAATCTCTTTTTTTTTTCCAGCAACTCAGAGAATACTCGATCGAACGTGGTAAACGGGATGCGACTGAAAGCAAGGGGAAGCATGGAGGTGTTGAAACGAGGGAATGCGGGAAGCGTGGGAAAGCTTTCAGAGGGAGGTCGCGGCTGATAGCAGGAATCGGGTCAGCGCAGAAAAGCGGGAGGTGCAAGTAAGACAAAGCGGGAAGCGGGAAGCGGAAGCGTCGCAAAGCGGGATGCGAGGGAATCGCAGGAAGTGGGAAACGGGGGAAAGCGGGTAGCGTGACGCATGAGAAAGCGAGACGCGGGACGCGAGGCCTAGCGGGAAGCAGTTCGCGAGGCACCGCCTACGAGCGGAAGGCGGGGACTGGTGGGAAGCGGGGTGCATCGGAACGCGGGACGTGGTTAGCGAGGGTGGGCGAGAGACGCACAACAGTGGGTGGTGTCTTCAAACAAAGCAGCTGGAAGCGGGTCGCAGGGGGGGGCTGTCTTTCATTCCGACACTACTTCCGCCTAATGATGGCATGATCGCGTTTTGACTGGGCGGTCGTGAGCTAGCTTGCCTACGCGTGCAGTTAAGGCACATAGTACTAGGCAAATGCTAGGAGCGGGAGTCTCGCCTTTTCTGGGTCCCGAATTACAATTTTTCTATCAGTTTTACCTTAGTCATTTTTCGGGTTGAATGATGGAGCTGTGGTTTGGGCATCGGCGATTGTCGTTGAACTGCTTCGACCAATCTCATGGCCCTTTTAACGCCTTCCCCTGCGTTTGCATATTCTCCCCGGGTGCATGGGGTTGCCCTTTTCTTTGCGCTCTGACTTTGCTAGCAAAACCAGCCGTGCCTTGTAATTTGGGATAAGAGCTTTAACATGCATTCTGAACGCGCCCCTGCTTATACGACTGTCCCCCACCCTTCGCCACCTCGCAGTATTAATTCAAGTCATACTCGAACAGAGCAAGATCCAAGATTATTAGAATTTGCTCTATTCGAGAGGGGCTGTGCGACGCAGGCAGAGTTGCACTAAGTGGATTGAGGTGCTGTCTGTTGCGCACTATACATGGTCGGTGCCCCTGGCGTATGTTGCGACTCGAAGTCGCAGGCATTTTCGCACATGCTTGTGCGACTCTATACGGGTGGATTGCAAATCACATATCGGAAACCACTTAACAGATTAAAGGCAAGAAACACCAGCTATTTGCAAAAATATATACAGTTGTGATTGGCCGGCATCTGGTCGCTAAAGTCGCGAAGCACATTGAAATATGAAATTGGTGCGGGAAATGCAGAACATTGACTGAACTCATGGAGTATGACGAAACCTCATAGGACCTCACGTCATAATCATGCGGTTATGCGCAGTGCATATAATTTATCTATGAACTCGATGCCGTGCGGATAGGTTCGTCAGATTCTGACGCGAGGTCGACTCCGACGCGAGCCGTGGAACAGACTGTGCGTAACTTCGTCCCTCTGAGCAATGCTTCATCAAATTTCAGGTTAGGGAGATGTGTAGATTCTCGTCTGGTTCCAGCTTCGGTTCCTATACTGCCTGGTTTGGAAGCAACAAATGGAATTAGCTGGCTTCCTTCGATTGGTTTCTTGGTAATGTCAGCGTCGATTGGGGATCATGTGAATCGCTTTCAATGGGTTCGGAAGGGGGGCATGTGTGGGTCGTGGAGATTGCCAACCAATGGGATGCGGTATTTACCATATTTATGTGAATGCCATAGTTTGCGACGTTTATTGTATACGCTTATACGATTGGTAGAACATCGTACACGCTGCGTACGTAGGAGTTGCCCCTATTTCAACATTGCCCGGTGGGAATGTGTGCCTTAGATGTCGTTGCACTAGTCGCGTCTGACCTGCAGCTCATTTCACTGAGTCAATTCTAGGGGCATCCCGCAACTGCCGAAGTCAGGCACTGCCTGGATGGAGTCATGAAACCAAACCGCGGGGTGTGGAATTAATGGTGAGAAATTAACGCAAAATATCTGTAAATCAAATCACTGTTGACGGGGACATTTTCTACCCACACCAAAATGCCAGTGGCAAATTCTGTACGGAGGCACATCAACCGCCAGTGGCGGCTTGTGATTTGTTCTGCAGCGGTTGCTTTTGACATGAAATGCCATGTCGCATAGCATCGCATCACATCGCACATCGTCTCATCCTCGTTTGTACCATCATCATAACCACGAACACTGGTCCCATCCCAAGCCAACCAAATCCAAATCACACAACCGCACATATGCGACAGCAACTGAGACCTCGAATCCGAACTAGGCCAATCCATCCGAAACATATCACAAACGATAAGAACCGACTGTCACCGACAGAATTTCCGTTCTGCTTCTCTCATTTCCCTCGTCCTCCCTCGGGCCACCTCAACACGGTCTGTTGGATGCGCGGAAATCCCTCTGCACCGCGCTTGCTTCCTTAGTAGGCTCTTTCGGTTAGCTCTCACCAATGTGACTCCATCACTACCCATTCCTCTCCATCACACCGCTTTTGAGACGACGATTTTCCATGAACCCGCCGCATGCGCTGCGATGGAATGCAACAAACTCCAAGTGATGGCGAACGGGAATCCCACGCAACCGACTTTTGACGAGCCGCGCAGGCGCGCTGCGCGTTCGCAATCATTAGGGTGCGCAATGACGGAGCGCGCAGCGGGGGAGCAGTCCCCAACTAGAAGCCAATCCCCGCCGCATTCTAGAACGTGTCATCGCTCCGTCTCCGCCTCTTCCCGTAACTTTCCCTCAGTCCGAATCGTTATTCCCACCGACGACGACCACGACGACGATCCATGCGACACCGCGTATGGCCAAGTGCGGCATGAGCCCGCGCCTTACTCCCTCCCGCCGCTCTCTCACCCCGTGCCACGTGGCACCTCGGAGGAGGTCGACCGTCTATGGGAGGTCCACGTGTCGCCGTCCGAGCCGAAACCGCGTCCGCAAAAAGCGCGTCCGCCGAAGCAGTCTCCGCTGGGTTCCGCCAGCGGCTTTGCGCGCATGCTGCTGCAATGGGCACCTTCATCGGCGCGCAGCAGCCGCCGCAAGAAGCGCGCCGACTCTGTTTCCGCCTCCGGGGCGCCCCGGCGGCCTCAAAGCGCTGCCCAATCGCAGAGCCAGCGAGTAGCTGACGTCAGCCCGGCGCTCCAGCGTGACACGTCAGCGAGCCCGAGATCCGCGCAGATAGAAAACTTGCGGGAACCTTACTCTCGTCCGGAAGCTGCGGGGGCGGAGGGGTCGCGGGGGTATTCCGCCCGTCCGCGCACGGCGCCAGTCGGAATCTTCGGGCGGTGGCGCTCCGCTGCACCACTTTCCCGCCCAAAATCTCCGCTGTTTGGCCTGACGAATATGGCGCGACGAGGCGTGAGCGTGCTGCCCGAGGGGGAAGAGCTCCGCGAATCGTACGATACAGGGGCATTGGCGGACGCGGATAGCGAACTAGCTTATAACGGAGATAGGATCCGCTCGATTTTTTCTCCCTGGTTTAGCGGAGGCACGCCTGGTGATAGGCCGTGGGGTGGAGGGTGGGGGTAGGGGACGGGGCGGGGGAAAGCGTTTCGGAGCGGGGGGAGGGGGAAAGGGAGGATCTAGAAAGGCGTATTTCGTATAGCAGTAGCATAGCTGGCGCGGCTGGGAGTGTAGTTAGCAGCAGCACTGCGGCTTATACCGAAGTTGCTTATAGCGAGTCGCTGATCATCCAGCACACCGATGACACGGACTGCGAGAGTGTGACGTCAGCGTCTAGCGGCAGCGGGTTCGACGCGCTTGCCTGGGGAGCGAGCGCGCCAATGGGCGGGGGAAACGCGGCTGTGGGGGGGGGGAACGCGCCAGTGGGCAGAGGAAACGCGCCAGCGGGGGAAGGAAACGCGCCGATGCTGGGGAGAAATGCGCGGGTGGGGCGATCGCTGGCGGATGGGGCCGGGGGGACTTCGAGGCTCTCTGGCGGAGCCTGCCCCGCGACCTGAGGCGCACGCGGTCGCTGCAGAGCCCCAGGGGGAGCGCAGGGGGGAACCTAGGGGGGATCTGAGGGGGAACCGCGGGCACGGGGCGAATGGCAACAGTTCGGAGACGGGAGGCGAGGAGGCGGGCGGCATGCGACGTGTGGGTAGCGAAGCGATGTTACCACCTGTAACAGGTGTGACGGGTGCAGCCAGGTCAGGCCTCCTTACTCCCTCGGCGCATAGCCCTACGGCCCCCAGTGGTCTGCCCCCGCCATCCCCGCGGTCGGCTGGTGGTAACGCGTGGGTGGTGAGTGTGCCGTCTTTCGCCCAGCACCGCCTGCGAGTGGCGTCTGCCGAGCGAATTGCAAGGGGAGGGCGGGAGGGGAGGGGGTTTGAGCAGCAACCGCAGGAGTACCAGCAGCAGCAGCAGCAGCAGCTGATGCCACAGAGGGCGCACAGGCGCACGCGCAGCCTGCATTCGGCGGAGCTGGAGTCGATGCGGCTGGAGAAGATCGGCGAGTTCAGCGTCCCCTCCTTCCAACACTCGCCCTCCACCCTCCGCCCAACCCTCCACTCGCCCTCCTTTCAGTCACACTCGCTTCGACCATGCCCGCTGCGCCCCCGCTCGCCCGGCTTGCCCCCTCTCTCGCCCAAAGTGGCTGCTGGGCCTTCGTCCGTACTGCACCCATCGGTACAGTCACATTCTCCAATGTCACGAGGTCTATGTTCCCCTTCCCCTTCCCCTTCCCCTTCCACTCCAAATCTGCCTCATCGGCTATCCTTCGCCGCCGCTTCCCCTAAATTGCTCTCCCCTTCTGCCTCTCGACCTGGTAGGGCGACTGGGCGTGAGTTTGAGGCGCCGCTGGTACAGGGACACTCGCTTAGTGCACTTGCAGTAGCGACGGCGTCCGGGATTAAAGCGAATCCTGCAGTAGGGGGTACATCCACAGTTACCAGCACCCCCAGGCGGATATTTAGACGGTGTAGATCCCTGAGTGTGGGGAACGCTGTTGGAGGAAGCGAGTGTGACTACAGCGAAGCTTCAGGTTACAGTCACGGCGAGGTGGTTAGGCAGCAATACTCCAGCGAGGGTGATGGTGGTCTAGGGTTCCATGAGTCATTCTCAGGACCGATTCTCCTCCACTATACTGGTTCTCAGGCCGTTGAACTTGTGGTGCCTCCAGTGTCAGTGGGAGCAGCAAATTTGCCAAGAGCACCACTGTTGCCTTTACCGCTGTCCGCAGCAGCAGCAGCGAGTTTCCCACAGGCGGCAACCGCGCCTAGTGTTGCAGCTGCAACACCAGCAACGGCTGTACCAGCAGTGTCATCCTTGGTTGTAGCATCACCACCAGTTATGGCGTCAGCAGCACGGGTTGTTGTAGCCGTGGGGCCCGCAGCTATAGCTGCAGCTATGCATGTGGCGCCGGGCGGTTGGGTGGAGGATTCATACTGCCTGCTGAAGGACGAGGATGGGGCTGAGGTCTCCTGTGACTGTTATGGACGAGACTGTAATGGGAGTGACTGTGTTGGGAGTGACAGTAGGGGCAGTGACTGTAAGGGCGGTGATTTTAAGGGTAGTGACACTAACGCTGCACAGGTGGAGCATGAGCATGACCCTTATTGGCTGTGGCAGCAGCAACATATTCCGTTGTAGAGAGAGCAGTGCTGGGGTGTTACAGCATCAGTCGTCAGCAATCAGAGCAGCTATTCTGGGTTTGCTAGGACGAGGCATGTTCATTGGTTCGATGCAGTTGCTATTGCTGAGATTAAAATTGGCAATTAGGACATTTTAGGGATAAGGCGATTCGCACTGGTTTAGAGACTTCCTTTGAGGGTTCCAAAATAGTCACCACATTTAGAGATCGCAGATGTTTATATCTATACAAAGCTGATATCAGTCTTCTTGAGCATACCGAGGGTAAGTTACCCTGTTTTATGTTCTTCCCCTTCCGTGCTCGGATCCCCCAGCACATGACACAGACTCGAAGTATCGTCAATAGTACTGCTGGACCTCACTAACTGGTTCTAGCCTAAACTTGCACATCAGATCGACCGAGGGTCGGCATGATGACGGGATTTCAGGAAGAGTAAACTAGGTTTGACATGACATGACATAAGCTCGGCATAATCTAGGTTCGGCGTGTCCTAGGTTTGAACCGGACCTGCGCACTCGGCCTGCGCCGCATACATGTCCCAATCGGCGCTGAACCTCGTTCCTCCTCTCTCTGTCAAATCGCCTCTTTTCTCCGTCAATTCATCTCTTTTCGCCGTCAATTCTTCACCACATCCAGCCAAGCCAAGTAACGCCTCAGTGCTGCATCCACACTTCACGGAATCCCCCCGTCATCGTCAGAATCGAATCAAGCTCAAGAGGTCCGAATCCGACCGCGAGGCCACACGCTGCGCGCCGAGCGTCGAGGTCCTTCCTGCTCGCTGTTTTCGGGTGCATTGCCATGCAACCCCACGGAAAAGCGGCCATCGGAGAAAGAGCCAGAGCGAGCGAGCTAGTTCGCTCGTCTCCACTCCAACTGATAAGCCTAAGGGTTTCGGCGGAGCTAGCATTCGACGTTCAGACAAGCTTGATTCCGTAGCGAACGAGTCGGCCTCGGATGCACGAGACCCGGGTTCGAATCCTGCTGTACTACCGTCACAGAACTCGTCCGAACAGGCCAGCAGATTAGAACCAGCAACCTCGCAGCGAATCTCAAGCTTAGATCCGGTATCCCCGCAGCCGTTTCCAAACTTAAGGCCAGCAATTGCGCCTGAACCGCAGGCAGGGAAGGCTTCAGCAGTTACCGCCGGCAGCAGCAATGGCGCTGTTCGTAGCAGTCGCGAGAGGCGCAAGAAGTGCGGGGGACTCAGTAGTGGCCACGGAAGGCGCGGCAACCTCGAGTCAGGCGCGGGAACGACCAGGCCTCGGAATCTGGAATCACTCGCAAGTAAGGGACAAGGGTTGAGCGCAGATTCCATCACTCCCGCTGCAACTTCCGCCACCCCCGCGCCTGGCGATATTGGCTTCCGCCCCTTGCGGACTGGACTGGGCAGCCGCAAGCGCATGTCGCGGACTGTGACCAATCGGGTGGCGAGGGCCGTCCACGCGCTGGTATTGGCTGCTCGAACTGACAGTCAATCCCCGCTGCTACTGGCTGTGAAGGCCAATACCAGCGCGTCCAGGGCTCCAGAACTGACCCTCATCTGTGACAGCCAATCGGAGTCCAGGATGGGGAAAGAGAGTCTGCGTGAGCTGCGGAGACTCAAGAAGCTTCCCGCCGCTTTCCTGCGATCTGTTGCTGAAGAGCTGTGGCTTGTGCGGGAATTCGAGCTGGCAGCAGATGTGAGTGTAACGGGGGGAAGAGGGATTTCCAATGTGAGTGTAACGGGGGGAAGAGGGATTTCCAATGTGAGTGTAACGGGGGGAAGAGGGATTTCCAATGTGAGTGTAACGGGGGGAAGAGGGATTTCCAATGTGAGTGTAACGGGGGGAAGAGGGATTTCCAATGTGAGTGTAACGGGGGGAAGAGGGATTTCCAATGTGAGTGTAACGGGGGGAAGAGGGATTTCCAATGTGAGAGTAACGGGGGGAAGAGGGATTTCCAATGTGAGTGTAACGGGGGAAGAGGATTCCAATGTGAGTGTAACGGGGGAAGAGGGATTTCCAATGTGAGTGTAACGGGGGAAAGAGGGATTTCCAATGTGAGTGTAACGGGGGGAAGAGGGATTTCCAATGTGAGAATGTGAGAGTAACGGGGGGAAGAGGGATTTCCAATGTGAGTGTAACGGGGGAAGAGGGATTTCCAATGTGAGTGTAACGGGGGGAAGAGGGATTTCCAATGTGAGTGTAACGGGGGAAAGAGGGATTTCCAATGTGAGTGTAACGGGGGGAAGAGGGATTTCCAATGTGAGAATGTGAGAGTAACGGGGGGAAGAGGGATTTCCCAATGTGAGTGTAACGGGGGAAGAGGGATTTCCAATGTGAGTGTAATGGGGGATTCTGTTTTGACGGCATCGTTAGCTGTATTTGGTTTGAACTGAAGAAGTTTTGGGTCTGTTGCTGAGAAGCTATGGCGCTTGCATGACACTGACGTGGCAGCGGATGTGAGTGTAACGCACATTGACGCCCATTATGATGCACATTCACACACCTCTAATGCGCTTTCACACACCCCTGATGCACATTCACACACCCCCAATGCACATTCACACCCCCTGATGCGCTTTCACACGTATGCACCAAATCCCCTCTTCTCCACCCCACGGCACCGCAACCACCGCAATCCCGTACCAACTCCCATGCTGCCGCTGTGGCTTCAGGTGCTTGGCTTACCCGCACCTACCGCCTACCTCCCTTGGCGTAGGGAAGTCAGACGATTCAGAGTCGCCACCCTTTTTCTCTTCCTTGTACAACTTCGTCTCCATCCATCCACCCACTTATTTCAAACCCCAAACCGTCTCCTTGCCTCTCCTTCCATCCGCGCCTTCACCCGCCACCTCACCGTTCTCCACCCACTCAGGTTCTTGACTTGATTCCACCTGCTACCTCCCTTGGCGCCGGAAAAATCAGGCGATTCGGTTTCTTCTGCTCATGACAGCAGCAAAAAACAGGCGGTCTCAAAACCCGTCCCTTCTGCTCACGACAATGGCCCACTGAGCAGCAGAGGCAGTGGGCACCACATGACAGGTGGCCGCTCTGCGATTGCACGCCCGAGTGGCTGCGGGCCTGGTGGCAGCGAATCATGTTGAGAGGGGGGTGCAGCTGATTGGCCGGATGCCTCGGGAGGATCCTCCTGCAGGCATGGCGGCTGACAGCGACGAAGCAGGGCGCCGGGAGAACCCTCCAGAGGCCTCGGGAGGGTCCTCCCGCAGTCATGGCAGGCGTATCTACTTCCCTCATAAGCCGATCCATAGGCATGGAGGCTGCACCTGCTTTCCCCAGTGCGCCACCCAGAGGATTTTTCCATTTCCCCTTTCCAATCTGCCGAAGCAGCAAACGACTGTGCTTCAATGGAGGGCAGCAGGGGCACAAGGCAGCCAGGGCCATCTCTCACTCTTCCCACTCTGGGCCGGCTTTCCCTTGCGTTATCCCCCACTGCAGATCTGCTAGCCTCTCAGATATCATGGCAGCTCATGGTGCCAGCGCAGCCGGCAGAAAGACAGCAGCCTCTAGTTGGTCGCGCTTCTTCCTCCACTCCTTCCCACCCTTTCTCCACACCGTCTCCCGCTCTCTCCTACGCCCCGGGCTGTGCTCTGATAGAGGCGTTCGGGGAGGTGGGTGTGGTGGATGGGTCAGTTGCGGTGCTGCTGTGCATGGGATGGGGTTGGGAAGAAATCTCAACCCAACCGCAGCAGCATCATGGGAGGCGACCTGTCCCGCCACACTAGGTTGACTTGTGGGTCGATTCAAAAGACAGCCACCTTGGGGAAGCAGCTCGAGTGGTCCGGAATCAGGTGAAGCGCGAGCAGCAGGAGATATCGAGGGACAGGACAGCAGACAGAGGGACGAGAACTCGCAACGATCAAGCGGCAGAGAGCTGAGGAGTTCTGCTCTTGAGAACGGGATTTCGCCTCATTTTTCTTCTCCTCAGCCGTGTTCTCGGTCTCTAAAGAGGGAGGTGCATGCAGTGCTGATGCTCGCGGCCGCCCTTGCCCGCTGCAATCGCCCGGACGATGCCCTTGCACTGCTGCGCTTCGTGCTCCAATCGGGATCTGCCACGTGGCAGGCTGTGAGGGGGCAGGTGGCGGTGGTGGCGAGAGAGGCGGAGGAAGCGGTGTTGCGGGCGCTGGCGAGGGCGAAGCGGTGGGGGGAGATAGAAGAAGTGGTCGGGGAGATGAGCTGCTTGAAACAACAAGCAGCAGGAGGAGCAGAGGGAGCAGAAGCAGTGGCGACAAGGGAGGCGGAGGAGGCAGTGGCGCGGGTGCTGGCGAGGGAAAGGAGGTGGGGGAGATGGAAGAAGTGGTGGGGGAGATGAGCTGCTTTAAAGCACAACAGCCTGTGGCAGAAGCAGCAGCAGAAGCAGCACCAGAAGCAACAGCAGAAGCAGCAGCAGCAGCAGAAGCGGAATCAGAAGCAGCATCAACACCACCACAAGCAGCAGCAGCAGCAGCAGCAGGAGGAGGAGGAGGAGGCGGAGCCGGAGGTGTAAACGAGTGGAGGAGAAGGGAGCTGCTTCTGAGATCTGCCTGGGAGAGAGGCCAGTGTCAGCAGGTCGCATCCATGCTCCACAACATGACTGATGACGTGGCAGTTACTGCTGACGTGGCATGCAGCAACAGCTCTAAGGTACTGCCAGCGCTTCCATCCCCGCCAGCAACCACCATGAACCTTGCAGTGCGCCTCTTGGGTGCTTCTGTCGTTCCGCAGCTATTGCCGCCTTTGGTCCCACAGCTGCTGCCGGCAGCAAATGCAAGTGCGGAGTCAGTAGTAGGCCATGTCGCAGGATTCAAAATCTCCCTCAGCCTTGTCCACCATCACCAGCACGCCCCATCAGCATCTGATGGAGAGAGTCAAGTGCTGGCCCGTGCTTTTGCGGCTCTGCTCCGCCGCTATGTCGCCGCGGTTAGCAGAGGCAACAGTGCTCGTGCTAGCAGCAGCAGCAGCGGGTTGCAGGTTGATCTGCATGGATTGCACTCTGAAGCCGCTGCGGTGGTGCTGCTTGCCTGGCTTGGCGTCACGGCGAAAGGGATAGCAGAAGGAGAGAACAACCAAGGTTCAAAGCAAGCAAGGCATAGCATCCAGTTAACTGATAGATATTGGGGCTATGCCAGTGTAATAAGAGAGGCAGGGTCATCTTCGTCATTGGAACGGAAGCATAGAGAAGGGGAGGGTACCGAAGAGCTCCCTGGTAGAGTTGCCATTGTGACAGGATGGGGGAAGCACAGTCGGAAGCAAGGAGCTTCTGCTGTAAGGAGTCGCGTGGAGAAGTTGTTGATCGGCATGAACTCCCATT